CTACTTCCGACCAGACCCTCTCAGCCTCGGCACGCTAGGTCCAACATTTTTTCAATAGATACGAGAGATAGTAATATTGCCCCCTCGGTGGCGTGGTCCACCAAGTGGTAGATGGAGAGTTTGAGAATGTTTGCCACATTTTTGTTGCGCCTCCCAGCCAAACTCATTCTTGCCTCAATAGTGAAAATTGTGGCATAGAAAGCACAGTAGTTTGTTTGCAGATAAGTAAACCATATAACCAACCGTAGAAATAATTAAAAATAAAAAAGACCAGCTTGCAAACCTCAATTGGTGTTAACATGCTAGATTTATTTTGGTCTCATGCAGCACCAAGAACCAGACGGTTGTCTACTGTGGCTTTGTACTGTTGCAAGTCGAGTCAAATTTATCATCAACGGTACTGCCAAAGATAAGCTATTTTATCATTTGTGATGTGTGAGCTTGGATGTTGTCTCTCTCATGAGAAATTTATGAAAAAGAAAGAAAAGAGGGAAGATAAAGGAAGTAGTTAGAGGGAAAATTGAATTTGTTACTACTAAGCTATCATCGTTAACCATCTTCATTTTTTGCAGATGAAAGACGACTCACTAATCCCCCCAACCAACAATGTGATGCATTTTCGAAACCTTAACATGAAGATGATCTCATTGTGTTTTCAACAATCACCAAAAGTAGATGTTTTATGAACTTATAATTCTCCCCATAAGAACAATGGGGAAAGTTGTGTTTAGCAAATTTAGAAAAGGAAAAATAAAGTAAAAAACAATATGATGAATGCCAAAATAATATATTAGATAAGTAGAAGATGGATGACAAGAAGAAACTGAATAATATGTGAGATATAATATTTTTTGAAAACTCAATATACACACTCATACTCTATTATTTCTCTCACCCACAGCTTACCACATCCACTTACTTCCTCTCTACATTACCATCCAACTCTCTATATTACTTACCTTTCTTTTAGTTCTCTCTTCACTCCACACCTTTTACTTTCATCACTCCTCTCTTCATAAACTACAAACACAAATTAAGCACCCTATTTCGTATCTTTCATAACTAACATATACTCCAAAATGTCTCACTTTTTCTATAATTTTTTATTTTGTATTAGTCGACTGCGCCTTTTTCTTCTTCTTTTTCATTTATTTCATACTCTAAATTCTTCTTTCTTATTCTGTAACCTGTAACTATTTCCCAAATATTTAAAATCTTCTCGTGCGTTCCTTTCTTTTCTATTATTGAGAAGCACCATATTATTTTATTTTTTTCATTTTCTTATGGTTTGTTACATGCTGTAAATTCTTCAATTTCCAAACCGTTAATTTTTTTATGAATGATGATACGAATTTTTATTGCAAGAAAGAACAAAGATTGCCCAAAATGACAATGAAAATGACATACAAAGACAAAAGAAAAAAAGAAAGGATGGGGTCCAAGGTGAGAGCACTAAAAAGAAGGAAAAAATCCAAACAACTAACTCCTATAACAGAAGTTTAGCAAAAAGAAAAAGACAAAAAACTAACAAGATGCAAAAGATAAAAAGATCATATAAAATTCCCATAAAATGAGTAGCCCAAACAAGTCTCGAGAAATTCAAATATAATAAGAGAATTGAGGAGTTGGAAAGCGAGTTGACCAAGAAAGGCCAATTGGAAGAGAAATTGAGAGTTTTAGAGAGAATGTCTAGCAAAGTAGTGGAAGTTAAGTTGTGTAAGGAGGATCAGAAATTTGAAAAAGATGTCCCTTGAGATTGAAGATAAAAGATATAAGGGATAAAAAGTTGGTTGTACAACAGAGAGTGGTGCAACTTGATCTTTAGGTATTATGGTTGTTGCATCATATGTGTATCCATGATGATATGATCCATCAATCATACTCCTGCCTGCAATCATTGCTAAGAGCATACATGGTCAGGTCCTTGTTCAATCCAGAAATGGATTGATCAAAGAGGTAGAAACCACAAAGTTTGTAGAATCCAATTAGTCTACTTTTTTTGTTTTGTTTCATAAGAGAATACAAAAAATCAAAACTTGGTTACCTTATAATATGTGGATGAAAAATCTGAGCATCTTATGTATTTTTGTAACTCTGAATTTTAATCTACCACGATAAACTCAATAGCTTCTTGCACACCCCAACTAATTCAACCAACATCATTCTAACGAACACCAACAACGTTTAAGGTATAAGCTTCATACTTCTCGAAGGCTAAGATATAGCAAACACTTCCAAAAACTCTAAGATGGCTAATTGTTGGCTTCATCTTTCATAGCTTCTCAAACGGTGATGTAAATCTCAACCTTATTTGAGGAAGTTTGTTAGTGATGTATAATTTAGTCTTGATACAATTGGCCTAAAATCTTCATGACACGTTATTGGCATGTAGCATACTTCTAACTATCTCTACAAGATGTTTATTTTCCCTCTATGTCACACCATTCTGTTGTGGCATCCTTGCACAAGTAAATTGTGTATGGATCTTGTGCCTCCTCAAGTAGACACATGACTCGTCAGATGTGTACTCTCCTCCATTGTCCTCGCATAGTATTATGATCATTCTTCCCAACTCATCTTCCACTTTCTCTTTGAACTCCTTGAATATTTTAAACTTCTCTGATTTCGCATTCATGAATGCACCCCATACTTATTTAGATAATTCTCAATAAATGTGACCATATAACGATATCCACTAATAGATGTTTGCTTCAAATGTCCAAATACTTCTTATTGTATCAGCTCAAAGGCTCATTCACTCTATAGTGTCACTCCTTATATAGGAAAGTCTGTGTGCCTTTTCGTATTGTCATTTTGCACAAATTATATTATCTCGAACCTTAGTTGAGGAAGACCTTTCAACATTGATTTCTTCATCATGGCCTTCAACTTGTGATAATGCACATGACCTAGGTGTGCGTGTCACAACTCATTTGTCTCGTTCCTCCTTGCAAAATCAACATAGGCAGATTCTATAGTCATCACATACAGAGAATTCCTCTTGACTCCTTCCATGGTAGGCATATGCCAATGATCTTCACTTTCTTGCACACTTTAACATCATATGGGTCAAACACGACATAGTTTCCTGGTGTAGTAAGTTGAATTAGGTCTTTCTTGATACCCTGCACATTATACACTTTGATGATACACATTTTATGCATATTTTAGAGTTCATTTTTTAGATGTTTGAATACCATAGTCACAATACCATTGTAATTTCGACTTGATTTTGTGTTGTATGTGATTAAATATTAATATCCTATGAGAGAACATGATGTTTACCGGTTTTTGGCCATTTAGCTCATAGCTATAATAGGTTGTGTTTATTTTCTAATCTTAGGTCCTAGCATGATGAGGAAGGTGTACCAAGTTTAAAGCCAAGGGGGAGCGTTATGAAATTATTATTATTATTATGGATGACCAACATTAGATGCTCCATGGTATGTTACAAGTTCTATGTAACTCATCTCCTTATATTTATTTCTCCATATGACACATTAGATGCACAATTGGGTGTTACATGTAACCCCCACCTCATTTCTATTTCACATTCATTCTCACATTCATGTATATTGATTGTAATAATGTAGAGATTATGTGTTGTGTGCCTATAAATAGATGATCTACTTGTACTAGGGAACATATGAATAATAAAGCTCTATTCCCCCTCTCTTCTTGTGTCTATTGCTCTTCCTTTCTATTTTATAACATATCTCAATATATCAATCATATCGGGTACACGATAATTGATAAGTACAATAATCACACAAGCAGAAATGAGTACAAATCATTATAAAAAACAGAAAAATAACCAAATCAACCGATGGCGTTACACGAATTCAAACACTTGTAATTAATCACTCCATACCCAACAACTAGTAGATGCAGCAACCATTGCCACCAACTTAGGCAGAAGAACTAGCCAGTATATGACCAAGTCGGGAAAGATTCAAGGAGTAATGGGTTTCGGGAGGTCAGGTCGTATATTGACTATCGTCCATTGTCTCCCTCCCCATTCACCTTCAAATTGTTTTGTTGCCTATGTGAATATGTGAAAAAGTTAATTTGCTAATTTGAAAATTCGTTAGCAAATATTAATTGCTATCCAAAATATATGAACTAGTATCCAAGCACTAAAGTATATAGAGAGTACAGACTAATATTCTAGGTTTGCTAACTGATATCCACCATGAATCAACTATTATCCCAAATTCACAAATTAATATCTAGACAACTCATAATAGTATCCATACAACACATAATTAGTATCCAGATAACACATAAGAGTATTCAGCAAATATTAATTGATATCCAAGATACATGAACTAGTATCCAAACAATAAAGTATCTAATGAGTACAGACTAATATTCAAGGTTTGCTAACTGATATCCACAATGAATCAACTATTATCTCAAATTCACAAACCAATATCTAGACAACACATAATAGTATCCATACAACACATAAGAGTATTCAGATAACACATAAGAGTATCCATATTGAATACTAGTTGGTATGATTGTGGATATTAGTTGGTAATTGATTGATTGAATACTAGTTGGTTTGATTGTGGATATTAGTAGGTAAAATCAACAGACTTGAATATTAGTTCATACATTTTGGATATTAGTTAGTATATACTAACAACTTATTCAGTTAGCAGAATAATCATATTGCTGTTATGACAGTGTTGTTCATCAATAGTATGAGTATGTTTGATTCTTAAATATATGTCATGTTATTTCCATGGTATAATATGTTGTCCACAATCTCATCCAATTGAAAGACTATTATAATTTAAAGTAACAATGAACAATGATTTTAATAGCATCCAAAAGCATATTTTGATTTGATTCGAATCAATCACATTGATCTCGTCTTTAAAATAATTTACAAATCCAAATTATATTTGAAACGATCTATTTGATTTTCCATCCAATTTAATCCCAGTTGAACTTCCCCTTTTCCTATAAAAACTCTTGTATACCAAAAAGAGCTCACAAAAATAAATCAAAATTTCAATTTCCACGGTTAGAAAAACAAGAAATTTCTCAAAACTAAATGAGAAACCGGGCCTGGTGAAGCGGGCCTGTTACCGAAGTGGGCCAAAGGAATTTGTATGCCGGGTTGGGCTCATTGCTGTTAAAAGAAACAAAAACAAAAAAGCATTATAAATGAGAGAGAGAATATCAAGCTTCTTCTTCCCACGCCGTCCGTCCCTACCATCCCTCCCGTCCAATCAAAACGTCCTTCACTTCGCCATTTCTTCTTCTGCTTGTTCTCCCTCCTCCTCTGCCTCCAAAACCAAAAGTGAAGAAAAGCAAATATTTCCCGCCCACCGCCTCCGTGCAGTCTTTGCACATTTCTCTCTAACCGTCGCCCTTCTCCTTTCACTTCCTCTTCCGCTGCGGTTGCTCCAACGTGCGACGACGTCCTCTTTCCCTCGGTTCGTCGACTGCTATTCTTCTGAAAGTTGCCGGCGACGAGTTGATCGGTGAAGCAAGACAACAGATCACGCGATCGTTTCCGGAATCCAGTTCTCTTTCCGTTTCCTCTCGTAGCTGTCTCCCTCTCTCGCCCAGTTTCTTGTCCTGGTGAGCACCTTCTCTCTCTCTCCTCTCTCTGTTTCAGAGCTTGATTGGTTACAGTTCTTGAATTATGCATTCCATCTGTTCGTAAGCTATGTCCAAGATTCTGAGTCTTTCCGTACTTGTTCGAACAAGATCTTAGTAGCAGACGGAAGGTTTATGTGCATCCTTTTGATTCATTGACGTCTGCGATTTTGCCTTTTGGAATATGTGCTGAATTTTGTTTGTTTGTTTGGATGCCAAGTCTGGTTTTCGAAGCCGCATTTTATCGAGCAGGTGGGGGGATCGTTTCCTGCAAGTTGCCCGGCGCCGAGTTGATCAGTGCAGCGAGACAACTGATCACGCGATCGTTTCCTGAATCCAGTTCTCTTTCCGTTTCCTCTCTCGGCCAGTTTCTCGTCCGGGTACCATCTCCTCTCTCTCTCTGTTTCAGAGCTTGATTGGTTACAGTTCTTGAACTATGCACTCCATCTGTTCGTAAGCTATGTCCAAGATTGTGATTCTTTCCTTGCTTTTCCGAACAAGGTTTTAGTAGCTGATGGAAGGTTTATTGATTCACAAAGACTTGCGATTTTGGAATATGCACTGAGTCTTGTTTGTTTGTTTGTTTGTTTAGACGCCAAGTCTGGTTTTGGAAGCCGCATTTTGTCGAGCAGCTGGGGGGATATCTGTGGGTGAAAGAAAATATGTTTCAGTCTCTCAAGATCGACACCGAGTTCGCGGACGAATCCGATACCGAAATCTTTGATAAACTCATGCAATGGGCGGCACCTGCTGGGCTTCAGGATCTGCGGGTTCGCGGTTCCTCTGGATTTATGAAATATCCTCATTACTCGCAGACTGCTTTCGAATCAATCTCCGCTTGTGCTGCGTCGCTGGAGATACTGCAGTTGGAAGGTTTCAAGTATTCTGCAGCGGTATTTGGGCGGGAGTCCTGGTCTAAATTCAGAGTACTCAGAGAATTGGTTTTGAACGGAGTCTCCTTTGATTTCTTTGACCAGGAGGAAATTGACCCTTTTGCTGGGTTCCCAGCGTTGGAGCAGTTGAGCCTGATTTCTTGCTGCCGCTGTATTGACCGGGATGTTGATGACCCTCTTACTGATGTTGCCATCTTGGTAGTAAATGGACAACAGTTGCTGACTCTGGAGATAAACAAACCAATTGGTTTCTCCGAGATCAGAGTTTCAGCTGCCAGACTCACATCGTTTACTTTTAAGTTTGCGATTCTCCGTTCTTATCCGATAACAAGAGTCTCCTTGAACGCTCCATCCCTAGAGCATGCAGCTGTCAACTTGAAGGGATACAAAGATTCGACTGTTGACCTGAGTGAGGAAGAGGTACAGAATGCTGATGACCTGAATGAGGAAGCGGTACAGACTCGGTATGCAGCGTTAATCTATGGTCTGCGTCGAGCGGAATCTCTTGTCTTCAAATTTGGTACCACCACGGTAAGCTCCCTGGTAACTATATTAGTGCACCAACTCATATCATATCTTACTGCTGCAGGGCATTTATCTAAGCTGTTGATCAATGGTCTGTTCGCCATTGCACCTGCCTATGCAAGTTGTTCTTGGTCTTTGATTTTTGTTATGTGGGTCGAAAGAAATCTTATTCTCTTCATGTTGTTTTGGTTTACGCTCTGGTTTTAGGCATTCTGGAGTGCCTGTCAGCTGTTGAGAGGTCGGCCTTCGCCTTTTGGAAGATTGACGTACTTGGCTTTGCGTCATAAGGAAGAAGACATGGCTGTGATAACTGATGATCATGAGGTTGTGATTTCTTACTTCTTCGGCATCTTTGGTCGCAGAGTGGACTGTGGCCATCGAGTTACAGAGGTGGGTCCATCCGTCTAATGAAACCATGCCCTTCTTTTTGAACTCGATATCAAATGTTGGTTTACACTGTATGGATTCCTTTTCTCATCACCGTGATCTTCCATGACTAGATTCCTTTGATGGTGAACTAAACTCGATTCATTTTCTTCACGCAGATTACCAGGCTATATCCCCGAACCATCATCCCCAGCAATTGAACATTTTGCAAGCTGAAAGTCCGATTGGCCCTGTGAGCTCCGAGAAAACAGAGGATGAAGAATTTGTTTTCCCTGTACTTGAACTGATTGGGGAACTTGGGGGGATATGTTGTTAATGCTAGACTTTGTTGTTTCATGGTCCACTTTTCCGATTTGTGATGGTCTTACAGCTACAACATTGAACCTTGGTGGTCTCTCCTTTTGTGTAGTTTTACAGTGAGCTTGAGCTACAGTGGTAAATGAATGAACTTTTCACAGATCATATCAGGATCTTGATTGGAGTTATCGTAGTTAATAGTTAGATTTTATGAGAATTTTTCACAGATCATATCAGGATCTATGACTGTAATCTAGTGAACGTACTTGAGGTCATGGAATCAACAAGTGTGAAGCTTTACATGAATACTGAGACTTGCCCCAAAAGCAATGACATCGTAACCGGGCAAAGGATTTCCATTCGGGTCTTCTGGGTAGAACAGAATATCCACCTGGTTGCATTTTCCAAGCAAATGATTCTGGGAAGCCGCTTCGATGATGCTGGGATCGTAGCCAGAATAGAAGATGATTCGACAGGAGAAATTTTCCACCATAAGCACTGCCACAAAAGTAGCAGTGATGGAGAGCTTGGGAATCCTGTCCTTGGGTGCTGAAATGAAATGTACATTTGAGTTGAACACCAGATTCATAGAAATGTTCCTCGAATGCCAGAACAGCACAGATAGTTAAGCCAGCGAATCCGTCGCTTGTCCAATTTGAAGGCAGCTGCATAACTAGCGAATGTCCGGAACTATGATGGGTAAACCACTCAGGAACTTTACCCCCAGGACAGCAGAAGGTCGATTCCACAGCTGGTAGAAAAGACATCTGTCACATGGAAATCGCAACGGTCACAAGAACGTGCATCAAGCTGGCAAAAGATGAGGAATGAAGAGTTTTGTAGCCATACCTGATTACGTAGACCTTCGCTATAATGCTGAATCTTGAGCAGAGCATATGCCAAGATGTTCTTGCATGCAATCTTGTCCAAACTGAAGCAATTAGTGAAAGAGAAATCAAAGGAGTTCATGTGATCTGCAGAGTATATGGATACTCTAGCCAATGATTGGCAGTTATCTGCTTCCAACTTTGACAGCATGGTTGGGAGTTCCGGTAACGTGACAAGCCTTCTGCAGTTCTTTACACTGAGTTGTTGCAGCTGAGAGAGTCCTTTCATGCCAAAAGGTAGGCGATCAAACATATTTCCACTTAGATCCAATACTTCCAGTGAGGTCAAGGCACAGAGACCGTCAGGCACCATTGATATATTGCAATCATTTAGAGAGAGCCTAAACAAGGACTTTGAAGTAGCATTCCACCAGCCAGCAATATTTACAAAATATAGTAAGTGTCGCAGGCTTAGTTTTCTGCAGTTTCCTAGTTCCATCATAGAGAGGTTCTCCAGGTTCTCCAAGTCATTTACCACAGGAAAGTTGCGTATCGCAGTTCCATCTAGATAAAGGTATCTAAAAGATTTCATAGGCTCCCTGATAGCTGGGAACTTCTCAAATTTGGAGCAACCCGAAAGATTTAGCTTCTGAAGAGATTTCAACTTACATATATGGCTTGGGAGTACACGGAAACTTTTGCAGTTCTGTAAATGCAATTCAACAAGTTGAGAAAGGTGCTCAACAGATGACGGTATTTCTTCTATTCCTGTTTCATCCAAATACAACTCCTTTATCTTCCTTGAAATTTTGGGGAATTGTCTGATACTTGAGCAACCCCGTAGAATCAGCTTTTCAAGAGAGTTTGCCTCAGAAAGTGTATCGGGAAGATTCTTAATCCTTTTGCAGTTTGTCAAATCTAAAGAAGAGAGATTAGAAAGATTACCGATCCAGCAAGGAAGTATTACTATTGCTGTTCCACTCAAGTACAAGTACTTTATACTCTTTGCAATCGATGGCAATGACATGATACTTGAGCAGCCAGAGAAATCAGCAATTGCAAGAGATTCCAACAGAAACAGGTTGCTTGGAAGGCTGTGTAGTCGTTTACAGTCCTTTAGATTCAAAGCAGCAAGTCTACTGAGGTAAGCAATTGATTGGGGAAGTTCTTCTATTTCCGTATCGTTCAAATTTAGATAGGCTACACACCCCATGATTTCTGGGCACTTCTGAAGGTTTGAACAGCTAGAAAGGTTAAGGGTCTTGAGAGATTTGACATTTAGGCACTCTGGGAGACCCGTAAGGCTTGAGCAACCTCTTAGATCAAGATCAGTAAGCTTGACAAGATGCTGAACTGACGATGGAAGTTCCACCATACTTGTACAGTTAGCCAAATTCATTATCTCAAGATTTAATGCTTGAGACATGTCTGGGATGGCATTTAGATTCTTACAATCACTTAGGTCAACCTCTTTCAAATTCACCAAAGCCTGTAGTACAACAGGAAAAAAAATTAGCAAGTGGACTACAATTCATCCAGGAACGAGATGTACAACGACATGATCAACTTTGAAATATACCTGCACTCCTCCCCACAGTTGCTTAATGTTGCTGTAAGCCAAGTTAATGTGAACAAGGTTTTCAGCACGGAAGTTAAATGGAAAAGTGCTGAGAGGATATGAATATCCATCCCAATGAAGATACCTCAACTCATCTGGAAGGGACTCTAGCCCAAATGGGAGGCGGACCTTATATGATCCATCCCTGGCCCCATGATTATAATTTTCAGTAACCGTAGATTATGCATCCTTGAAAATGCTTGACAACTCAACTCCATGTGACTGATTTCAGAAACGTCTAAGAAGATTCCTTCAACCTGCTCAGTTCCCTGGGGAAATCAACAAGGTAAACCGTGTAACTGCATGTGGTGCTTCTGAGGTGAATTGGAGACAGGGAATAACGAATCAACAAAAATACTTGTACCTGATTTCTTGTCAAAACTCGATAGACATCATTGGGCCTCCATAATCTACTTCGCTTACCTAGATCTTTGACAGACTCCTGGCGGACAACTTCATGAGCCATTTCTTGCAATAAATCATGTATCCATATCCTGTTTTCTGAAACAGTAATGAGGCACTTATCAGTGAGCACACAAATCCCAGTGTCTGTCCCAAAACCACAGCCATCTAGTATTCCTTTCACAAAATCAATCTTTTGCCCGTTAAAGAAACAAGCAACATCAAGAAATATGCTCTTCTCTTCATCAGCTAATGCATCAAAACTAATCATCAATACATCATAAATTTCAGGCCGAATAGTTCTTTGGAGTTGAGCCAGCGCACTTTCCCAAAATCTCTGTGTTCTGTCCAAAAAGAAGGAGCCTAAAACTTTAATGACTAATGGGTTTCCTTGTGAATAAGTAACCACCCTACTTGATTGCTCCACAAAATCTTCTTTGGGACAGTTCCCCTTAAAAGCTCTGTAGCAGAAAAGAAGAAGGGCTTCATCTTGATCTAATCTTTCAACCTCATACATCTCACCCACCCAGCTCTTAAGCACTTGCTTATCTCTAGATGTTAAAATGACTCTACTTCCAGGACCAAACAGGTCAGTGGACCCAATAAGAAATTCCACTTGAGACACATCATTCACATCATCAAGAACAAGCAAAACCCTTTTACGCCTGATCCTATCCACGGTGAAGGTAGATCCTATAGTGATCATGGTGGAGGAATGCTTATTTTGATCCACCAATATCTCTGACAATAGTTGTCCTTTCAAGTGAACAAGTCCATGCCGCTTTGATTCTTCCCGAATATTTGCAAGGAAGCAGCAACCTTCATATTGAGCAAAGATATCACTGAAAACAGCTTCAGCAATAGTGGTCTTTCCTACACCACCCATGCCCCATATACCCAGAAAACGAACATCTGAAGACTGCATATGCAACATCGCTTTAATTCGTCCGACTCTTGACTCGATTCCCACCAAACCGTTCGAGTAACCACGCGGTGCACGGGTCAGTTTCTTCAAAATATCCTCAACAATTTCATTCACTAGTCTGGATTCAGGCCTAACAACAAAAATAGAGATGGATATTTGTAAGCCAATACCATCACATACCAATCAAGAGTTAATACTTAATAGACAATGGTAATTGAAATTTCTGTTACAGAGCCATCATGAATCAAATCCAATATTCAGAATCATGAAACTGTGATTTTCAGGCACAATGGAGTCCATATGAAGAGAGTGGGAAAGTTACCTGATGACTTGAGAGTCCCATCCAGATACATTAGCTGCTTTAGTAAGCTCACTTCTCCAGCTTGGCACCTTATCCATTTTGACCTTGAAATTCAGCTCAAGCACAGAAATTGCATCTGCGAAGCTCCCAATCTGCTGCTCCACATCAGATGGATCCACGTGATAGAAAACAGGCAGAACAACCTGCCCATACCTCTCCCTGCAATCAAGAATTTTCACCAGCTCATCCACACACCAGGGAGAAGCAGCGTAGTTCTTGGAGAAAATCACAACTGAAATTCTCGACTCTTCGATTGCCTTCAACAGCGAAGGAGTAATTTCCTCTCCTCTTTGCAGATTGTCATCGATGAAGCACTTGATCTTCTTGCGGCACAGGGCATCGAAGAGATGGCTCGTGAAATTATGACGAGTGTCCTTGCCTCTGAAACTAAGGAACACATCGTATTTCATCTGACCACGAGAATCAGCGACAGAATTAGCAGCAGCAGAAGAAGACGAAGCAGCCATGGATGGCAGGGTAGAACTTTCAAGGTGAGCAGCAGAGCCCAATTCAAAGATTAAAATGGATAAAAATTAGCGCGAGAGGAAGTCATCCTCTTCTTCCGTCATCAATCGAATAAGACAGGGGAGAAGTAAACTCGTATCTTCACAAAGTCAAGCTTCTCCATCACCAACTGCACATATATAATAATGGATTTGGTTTCCGCGTGGTTAGCGAAGACCAGAGGCTTCATTCGGGAAATTCCGACTTCTTACGAATAGTACCTCTCCCCGCCATGAAAAGGCACCGTGGCCGGCAATGGCTCCGCTTGCTTCCCTCTCGACGGGGATCCATTTCTCTGCCGCCGGCGACCAATTTTTTCCCCCGCAGGTAGCGCAAAAGTTCAGAATGCAGATATATATATATATATTTTTTTTGAAGATGTTCAGAATGCAGATATTACATACACCAAAAAGGAATTTTATTCCCATAAAAAATTTTTTTTTATTAGTTTAAATCAGCCCAGCCCACACTTCATAAGTTCAGCCTACTTGAGTCCAGGCCCAGCCCATTGCCGACAAAATTTGGCGGGGTTTGTCCCCACCTGCCACCACGTTTACCGTTTACAACATAAAATCAATCACCTAACCAAATTATTATGAAAAAATTTACCTAACCAAATTAAAAACAAAAATAAGATGTTCTTCTAGAGAGAAGTCACAGAGAAAGAAAGAGAGAGAGGTGGAGACAGCGACGAAGTGGCGAGGAGAACGACGAGATCAACGGTCCTCTCCCATTCTTCCGTGATCTGTAAGGACACTCTCTCTCCTTCTCCCGTCGCCGTCGCATCCATCGGCCGCCATCGTGTTCTATTTCGTGTCTGTACAGACGATTCCGGCGACTTGTTGATTTCAGATTCGGGGGGAAGAGAATTGGTAGAAAGAAAGGGAAGGAATTGAAGTTGAGGGAGGGAGGGGAGGAATCAATCAATCAGTCATGTCTCTGAATATGAAAACCCTAACGCAAGCGCTGGCCAAGGCGGGGGCGGTGATCGAGAAGACGGTGCAGACGACCGTGCAGGAAGTGACGGGTCCGAAACCATTGCAGGATTACGAGCTCATCGACCAGATCGGTTCCGCCGGGCCCGGCCTCGCCTGGAAACTGTACTCCGCTCGGCCGGTGAGGGAGTCGGCGCGGGGGCAGCAGTACCCTGTGGTTTGCGTGTGGGTGCTGGATAAGAGGGCGTTGTCGGAGGCGCGAATCCGGGTCGGTTTGTCCAAGGCCGCAGAGGACTCGTTTCTGGATGTGGTTCGGGCGGATGCGACGAGGCTGGTGCGGCTGCGGCACCCTGGGGTTGTGCACGTGGTGCAGGCGTTGGACGAGAATAAGAATGCCATGGCGATGGTGACTGAGCCGCTCTTTGCCTCGGTTGCTAACGTGCTTGGGAATTTGGAGAATGTTGAGAAGGTGCCGAAGGAGCTCAAGGGAATCGTAAGTAATTTCGCTCTGGATTGGATTCAGTTCAAAATTGTGGATTTCGATCTGGGTTGGTCTGTTCGCAATAGCTGTTTGCATTTTGTGAAAAGTCAGAATTCCTCTAGTTGTAGGAGCTGAACTGAAATGCCTAAACTTATACAAGTTCGGGAACTCTGATCTTGATTTAGTAAATCCAGAAATGATGAATCCTGTCAATTGGTGGTTATATTAGTTCGATCTGTATGTGCATTGAGAGTTATTCGAAGTCTGACCAATGAATATCAACCTTATAGGAAATGGGGCTGTTGGAGGTGAAACATGGGTTGCTCCAGATTGCAGAAACTTTGGACTTTCTCCATAACAATGCACATCTAATCCACCGGGCGATAGCTCCTGAGGCAAGTTTCTTTTCTCCAGTAATCACTCTGCAAGAGTTGAACGCTTGTTCAGAGTGGTAGCTTGAATACTGCAGTAGGTTTCCCAGAACCTATTTGTGTATTTTCAGTTTAAACAATTAATGCTTTCAACATTGACTTTCTGATTTACAGAATATCCTTATGACTGCAAGTGGAGCATGGAAGCTTGGTGGATTTTGTTTTACGATCCCAAGCGACCAGGGTGGCAATTTGGCTAGTGCCTTCCATTATGCTGTAAGTGTTACTTCATATTTTGATCATGTTGTCAACTGGAATTGTTGATTGGGCTAGTTCAGCTTTGCTTTATTTGTTCTATCTTCAGTTTGTACTTTACAGTTATGCTGTCCTTACTGTATGAAGTGATATTTGTTGTGTTGATTTATCTTGTTTTCCGTTGCAACAATCCAATGTTCCGTGAAAAGGGTGCATTTTGGCCCGCAGAGTTGTGTACATTAGTTTAGTATTAGCCATTTACAAGTGATCTCATACTATCGTGGGTCTTTAGACGCCTTTTTGGTCGATTGTCAATTACTCTTGAGAACCCGTTTGGTGTTAATCACTTCTTACCTGTCTTCTGCAGGAATATGATGTGGAGGATTCCATCATGCCCCTGCAGCCATCTTTAAATTACACTGCACCTGAACTTGTTCGTAGCAAAGTGCCTTCTTCTGGGAGTTCATCTGACATTTTCAGCTTTGGATGCCTTGCTTACCACTTGATTGCTCACAAACCTTTGTTTGATTGCCACAACAATGTCAAGATGGTATTCTTTCCTTTTATAGCTAAAATGTTTTCTAGGGGTTTCAGGTTTGTAACTGTAAGTGGCTCAATTGTTCTTTCCTCTCATGGCTTTCTTATCACCTATAGTTGGCAAAATGCATTTTTAACGAATCATGAGGGCCAAGCTGTGTATAATTAGGCTGGTGATATTTGACTTGCCCTAGGTTTAAGCCTTAGGGTCCATATAGATGTAAAACAAATGAGCTTCAGTGTATGCGATGCAATTTTGATTTTCATCCTTCGCCGAAGAATGTATTGGGTTATACCTGTATGCTATTCCATGAGGTTTTTATAGCTTGATGCTTCCAAGCTTACCTTTGGACTGTCTTTTTCCTTGCCATGTGCACGCATTCCGTGATTTTTTTTATTGGCGTACAGTTCTTACGGGACTGCTCAATACTGCTGGTATTCTGTTAATTTGGCTTCTGATTATGACCTGTAGAGATGTTGTAGAGTAATATACTGAATCCTCGACAAGAGCAGAAAAATGTGCATAATTATACAAGTGGATGAAATTTAACTGGTTCTCTTTCTGTTTGCAGTATATGAATGCTTTGAATTACTTGTCCAGTGGGTCGTTCTCCTCCATTCCTTCTGAACTAGTACCTGACTTGCAGAGGATGCTCTCTGCAAATGAATCTTTCAGACCTTCTGCCATTGATTTTACTGGTAAGCACATCACTATTTAGACTGCAATGCAATAGTTCATCATAAGAGGGTAAGAAGATAAATAGATTTATCTAGTACTGATATAGTAGTGATGGGTTTTACTCTTTAGAAGGCAATTAGTTTGAGGCTTTTTTATGTGATGAACCATGTTGTAGAATATATAGGACTCGTCTTTTGCAATTTGATATTGTGGAATAAATTGAAATTTGGTGACTTAACTATTCTCTGAATTGGAAGGTTGTTGTTAATTTTAAGATGTTCCTCTTTTACACATGATCACAGTATAGTCTTCTCTTGCAGAAGGGTTTGTTTGGCTCAGTTTGCTTTTACATTTTTTTAAACCCTATTGTGGATTTGGGAAGAACAGACCATGAAAGACATGGGCTTGGGTTTGGAAATAAACTACATATATTCTAGACGAACCTCCATTGCCATTCCTGTTCCTCATAAGTTACCTTTCGTATTGTTTTATTTCAGGTTCTGGATTTTTCCGTAACGACACGAGGTTGCGTGCTCTTCGCTTCCTCGACCACATGCTTGTATGCTTTTTTGTTTACCTTAATCAGCAAGAATTTTAACCTGAAACTATTATCATTTCAAAATGCAATCAATTGTGTATTCATTGAATGCTCTCTTACCTTTCAGGAGCGAGATAACATGCAGAAGTCTGAGTTCTTAAAAGCACTATCAGATATGTGGAAAGATTTTGACTCACGTGTATTGCGGTACAAGGTTTGAGTTTTATTTGGTGCTACATACTTGGCCAATCTTTGTGGACTTATCGTTAGATAGCAATTTTATATCTATTTGTGAAACACTCTATCTAGAATATTTAGCGGGTAATACATTACGATAGAAATAAAACGCCAATGCTTGTACCTGCTCGTTTTGCAAGGTGAATCTGTGTTCTCTTGTTTGTGTTTGATTATGGAGCATGCCAATGCGGCCATAAAATTTCATTTTTTATTTTATTAGCAAAATATCATTTGTTGGATCTATCTGTCTCATTCCCTTGTTGTTTGATTGTGTATTTCTTCTTTGTGCTTTTTTTATAAATTTCTATTTTGGCGAAAGTTTCTAAGTGAAGTGCTTTTCTAGGTGCTTCCACCTTTATGCGCGGAACTCAGGAATATGGTTATGCAACCAATGATTCTCCCCATGGTTCTAACCATAGCTGAATCTCAGGTATTGAATTTGTTGGCTGAATGACATCTTTTGTTACGTTTAGACAGCCAGATAATCGAGTTTTTTGGTTGTTGTTCATTCCTTTATGCTCTCTTTTCCCCATCCATTGATTAGGTACCCTCGATTTTATCGAACTTAGATACTCTAGCTTGATCAAGGAATATTTATGGTTTTTTTTGCAATATCTTTTTGAATGGATTTTCTCCTTTAATGTGTATAGTAGCCCATCATATTTCTTGAGAAGGCTACCTTTGTAAGGATTTTTTTTTTTTGTTGGGAACTTAGTGTATATAGTAGCTTTCATGTCTTTTGACTGTTTTGCTTAAATTCTTGTATGGTATAAGAAGAAAAAGTAAAAACTTGTTTCTTTCTGGTTTCATCTTGGACAAAAGGCTTACTGGATGTGACATTTTGTGTTGTGCTAAAGTTCTAAGTTGGAAAGTATTGCTAATGCAGATAAAGCCTCATTTGTGTACATTAGGAAATCAATTTTGCATTCCTATGGTCTCTTGTGTGCATATCCAAGTGGAAATTGCTATTTTCTGCAAAACGAATTAGTGATGGACAGTTAAACTGATACATATGAGTTTATATTGATGACTTTATCAAAATTATGATTTTCCATCTATTGTAGGATAAAGTAGATTTTGAGCTTTCAACACTTCCAGCTTTAGTTCCTGTCCTCAGTACCGCTGCTGGTGAGACACTGCTACTGCTTGTCAAGCATGCAGATCTCATAATCAACAAGGTAACTTGCTCTATCCACATACCATTTTTTGTCCGCATTCTTTGTGGTCAATAAATTTCTTTTTTGTTAATAACTGTATATGGTTTTGGTAGAGAAGTGGGGGTAGCCAAAGACCAAAAAGTAAAAAACAGGGGAAATATAGAAAGAAGAGAAAAAAAGGGGTTTGGGCGAGAGGATGTTCAACTATTACTCTTTGTGTTTCCATCCTATTTATGATTAATGTCAGAATTTGTTGATTACAATTTTTAGAGTTTTTTTATCCATCTCATAATTGAAAAACTGACTTTTACCTGCACAATCGCAGAAACAAATTTCTGTTCCTTGTTCTAGAGCTTTTGGAATGTAAATTTTTGAGAAATCATTGATTTCTTCTTCTTACTCTGCATCCTTCTTTTTCACTAATTTCATGAACATGGTTGACATTAGAATAAGTCGGTACTAATATCCGATTTTTCTTAACACTTGTAGGCTAGTCATGAGACTTTGGTATCCAGTGTCCTGCCAATGTTGGTTCGAGCTTATGATGATACTGATACACGCATCCAGGAGGAAGTTTTGAAAAAATCTGTATCTCTTGCCAAGCAACTTGATCCCCAGGTTTGATAGCATTTCATCGAAGTTGTTCTCAAGTCTCCTTTTCTTATCAGTGGAACTATATGCTTGAAATGGGTTGTTTCTTCCATATTTGATACTTAAAAGCTGTTGGATTCATACAATAATTAACCATTACTCATCTTTAATCATCATTTGGGATACCCCTTTAGTCACTTTATTTTTTATAATACTTTTTAGAGGCGTGAAGATGAATAAAATGCATAGAATTGTCTATATTTCCTGGTAACTGATGTCATTTTTGGGTACTGTGCATTGTTTTCCTGTTTGCAGCTAGTGAAGCAAGCAATTTTGCCTCGGGTTCATGGATTAGCTCTCAAAACAACTGTTGCTGCGGTATGTAACACGTTTCAAATTCTGAGATGCAGAAAGATTTTTTTTATGTTTGTATATCCAGGTCGTTGTTGATATACTAATACATATATCATATGAATGCATTACTAATCATCATTTTTTGTTTGCAGGTGAGAGTGAATGCTCTGCTATGCTTTGTAGAGTTTGCTCATTCACTCGACAAACATGCTGTTTTAGACATGTTGCAAACGATTGGACGTTGTACAGCAGTTGACCGTTCCGCTCCTACCCTTATGTGTACTCTCGGGGTGGCAAACTCGATCCTAAAGCAGGTAATGTTTTGAAACACATGATATCAGAGCTAAATAGTGAAAACTTCTCAATTTTTCATTCTTCTGACTGGAACTCTTTTTGTCAGTTTGGAGTAGAATTTGTTGCAGAGCATGTTCTTCCCCTGCTTTCGCCTCTGCTCACTGCCCAACAGCTAAACGTGCAGCAGTTTGCCAAATACATGCTCTTTGTTAAGGATGTCCTGAGGTATTCTCACTGCTCCAACTGATGTTTTGTGCTCTGCTTATGTGATACATATGCACACTGATCATATCTAGGTAGCCTTTTAGCTCAATCACGGTTAGTATGTTTTTTCCAAGTCTTAAGGGGTCGTTTGGATGAGGAATTGTAACGGATCAATTAGACACAATTGTTTCGTTTTGAGACAATTGTACCAAATTGCCTCGTTTGCCAGCAAAAAATTTGAAATCAATCTGCCTGAGGTATTTTGAATTGATCCGTTTTGAGTCAATTTCAATTACCTGGGGTGGGGGCAGGTAATTCGAATTGACTCGTTTTAATTGCCTCGTTTATAAAACGAGACAATTGATCAAATTGATTCATTTCTAGATTGATCCATCCAAACAACCCCTAATTTTTATGTAGATGGAACGTGCTGATGATTCTTAATGCCACTAAGAATTGGACATTCGTCGTTCTTTTTTTCTTTGGTGAAAAAATTGTTCGGATAGGACACTTGGTCTAATTGAACCGCGGGCAAACTAAGGACAATTTTATGCATATATATGATGATTATGTATGATAATATTTATAGTTTGAACATTTGAAATAGCAACTGCGATCCTATTAGTTACAAGCTCTAGAGGAAATGCCATCAGTTGAATGTCTGTGGTGTGGTAGGCTTGTATGTCCCTCCTGTCTAGCTAGTTTCAACATGGAAGAAGTGTATGTATTATCATAAACCCCATTTTTGGCAATTTTCTTTTAAACAGGATGATAGAAGAAAAGCGAGGGGTCACTGTAAGTGATTCTGGAATTCCAGAAGCGAAGACATTACCTTTTGCTAATGGGAGTCAGTCTCAAGCATCAAGCAAATCAACTGGCACAGTTGCTTCTGCAGTAAAAAAGAGCCCGTCTTGGGATGAAGACTGGGGTCCTGTCACCAAAGGTTCTACTACCGTGCCTATTCCCTCTGTTTCAAGCAACCCATCTCCTGCTCCTACTACTATGACATCTTCGGGCAACCAGCAGCAGCCACTGCAATCATTGTCTTCCATGGCTAGTCAACAACCAGCTGTGTCATGCACTCCAGTCGACATAGAGTGGCCTCCGCGGTCATCATCTTCTGGTGTAAATCCGCAGCAAAGTGATGGCTGGGGACAATCGAGTACGGTGACGTCATCATCCACGCCAGCTGTTGACGATACCGATCCTTTTGCCGATTGGCCTCCGAGGCCTAGCAGCAGTACCACCAGTACCTCCAACACTTTGAACAACGGTAGAGTTGGCTCACTTACTCCAAATTACGGCTCTAGCTTGGGAACCACCACTTCCAACAGTAGCACTCAGAGCAATGGAAGCAACAGCTGGGCGTTCAACAACCAGAATTCGCTTCCCATGGGACGAGGAGCTGTGAACAGTGGTGGAGGCAGTGGGATGAATCGCAACCACTCCCTCGGGTCCTTGAAAAGCAGCCAGGGAGGAAGCATGGTTTCGTCTAGTAATCAAAAGAGGTTGTCCGGAGATCTGGAATCCATATTTGGTTCCGTGAGGAACAACGATAATGGAGCTTTAGCTCCTAGGCTTGCTCCGCCTCCTTTGACTGCTGTGGGCAGAGGGAGAGGAAGAGGAACAGCGGCAGGTGGCTCGACTATGAAGTCTTCTTCTCATGCCAACAAACCTCAGCCTGGACAGCCACCTCTCTTGGATTTGCTATAAAATCGAACCATATGACGAGGTAGGTACAGGAAGAATGGTCTTCAGTCGTATGCAACGTTGCAATCTGAACCAGTTTCATTGTTAATCGTCATCTTGGCTCGAGACTGCTCTAGCTGGCCCGGTGTCTCGATATATATAAATATGTATGGGTTCAGGGGAGGTTTTGGGCTGAAGGTGATGGTTTGCTTCCCATCAAATGTTTGTGGGTTAATTTTTTTGGGAAAAAATCCCAAATTATACATGTTTTTAAAAAAAATTCTCAAAATACACAAGTTATGAAAATAATTCCCAATCTACGTTAGTTTGGGCCATCACCGCTTTCGACGAAGACAGTGATTGAATCACTGTTGTCAACGAAGACAGTGATTGCATCACCGCTGTCGACGAAGACAGTGATTGCATCACCGCTGTCGACGAAGACAGTGATTGCATCACTGCAGTACACGGCCGCGGTGAAGGCCTGACCTGCGTCGAAACTTTAAACAAACGTAACTTTGTGCTCGGTTATCCGATCGTAGCGAAATTTTTTTTGATTCCGCATAATTTTTTGAGATCTTGCAAGCCGCAAATTGCCGTAGGCGGTTTGGTCCCGCCTTCGTCTCGAAAATATGTCGTTTGCTACACCGAATGAGCCTTTTTTCGATTTCGTCAAACTTTGAACGACCATAACTTTGTGCTCCACAATCCGAAAATCATGAATTTTTTTTTTATTTCGCATAACTTTTTAAGGACTACAATTTTTAGTAGGAGAGAAATCAAAAAATTGTAGTCCTTAAAAAGTTATGCGAAATCAAAAAAAAATTCATGATTTTCGGATTGTGGAGCACAAAGTTATGGTCGTTCAAAGTTTGACGAAATCGAAAAAAGGCTCATTCGGTGTAGCAAACGACATATTTTCGAGACGAAGGCGGGACCAAACCGCCTACGGCAATTTGCGGCTTGCAAGATCTCAAAAAATTATGCGGAATCAAAAAAAATTTCGCTACGATCGGATAACCGAGCACAAAGTTACGTTTGTTTAAAGTTTCGACGCAGGTCAGGCCTTCACCGCGGCCGTGTACTGCAGTGATGCAATCACTGTCTTCGTCGACAGCGGTGATGCAATCACTGTCTTCGTTGACAACAGTGATGCAATCACTGTCTTCGTCGAAAGCGGTGATGGCCCAAACTAACGTAGATTGGGAATTATTTTCATAACTTGTGTATTTTGAGAATTTTTTTTAAAAACATGTATAATTTGGGATTTTTTCCATTTTTTTGGCTTGTATTCATTCAGCTTATTGTGATGAAATAAGTAGAGGAAGGAAAAAAATATGTACCCCATTCTTGTAATTTCATTTTGTACATCTTACTGAAAGGTTTGTTCCACACTTCCACTTATCGTTTTTAGGACAATTTTTTTCTGACCAAGTATAGTAACCAACCAGTTATTGTGCACACATGCAACCTCGTTTATGAGAATGCGCTCACACATACATAGCCGTTGGATCGTGCTTTGGATGTTTCACGAGCATTGTTAAGTGGGTGTGGCATCAGTTTTGTGAATAAAATGTTGTTGTATCAATTCAACTATCGTAAAAATGCCTTCCGTGCAATCCGACAACTAATACATCCTCTTACAAATGTCATAACTAAATGAGAGAGGCGGCTTGCATTGCATGGATGAGAAGTGGAAAGTTATTATAGACGAATTAAGTTGGGAAGAGACGGATTAATTTAGTATATTGTCACTGTGATTTGGCCTGACTAAAGTTATCGAACCTAGGTTTACTGATTGTTATTACTTCCTCATTGTTTAATTTTGGGGGATGCAGGAGGCTTGATGTACAAGCTACCTCAAAACAACCTCACCTTCCTCCGGTTCGTCACCAACATTCTCTGTTCAGGGTTTCGCTCAATAGATTAGTTGCCAAACAGAGTGTTAGTATTTGATGTTACGTCAATTGTGTGGTGAAGCCACAACCATGATACTTGAATATATGTATTTTGCTCTTTACCTTACCATCTTTGAGGAAAGGATTTATGGTTTTTTACTACCGAATCCATCCCAATTCTCAAGAATCCTATATCTTTGTACAATCAAGTTTGTGTGTTGTGAAGTCATGGTAAAGCAAAATTATTAGGGATGCTTTAGACATTTTTATTTTGTGTATGAGCCACGGTTGTTGATATTAATTATATGTCCACGTAGGGTGAAAAGCAGTAGCTCCCATTTTAGGTGATATTTATTGCAAAGTAGGTAGGAAAATCATTATTATTATTGTGTACCTTTATCATAGTACGTACCATTATTTATTGTCTTTGTACCTACCCTTGTTAACTTGTTCTACCACTCACCACTCGTTGCACCTAATCCTCGGCTCTCTCCACTTCCTGATCTTACCTCGACGAGTACCCAACTCTCATTACTTCCCACCCAACCGCCGTCCCCCACGTGGAAGGCCTCCCTCGCGGAGCCGAGACGACGGCGGACGTCCCGGCTGCTTATTACTGCTTAATCGGTGAAAGTAGTGATGAAGTTTGGCGTGGTTTCAGCTTGGCGTGGTTTCCTTCCTTCAGAGCTGAGAGCTGTGTGTACGTTGCATGGTCCTATCCTAACCTAACCTAACCTGTTTGATATCAAATTGAGCAGCCTTGTCGATCGGTGGTCATGCTTGCAATGCCATAAATTGGAGGTATGGATGGTGGATTGGTGGTCCAGTCTAATAACTAACGACGCACTCATCACCACTCATCGCACCTAACTCCCTTCCCTTCCCTTTGTTGGGAAAAACAACAGGAACGAGGATGTTTGTACGAAAGTTCGAAATCGGGTGACTAGGATTATGATAGAGTCCTAAATTACCTTCACTTTTCGTAAATAATATTATTTCTACCCTCATAGTAAGTATTTTTGTTTTGCCTATTTGAATTTTGGCTACAAATTGTTCGAACCTGTAAAGCGGTGGGTTGATGTTCTTATTTTCATACTAGTATTTTTTTTTTTTTAATAAAAGCGAGATTATAACGATACTAATAATGCTGAAAAGAGAAGATGCCAAGGCTAGAGAATGGAACTCTGTGCTGTGATATCTTTGAATTGTAGTGTGTGCAGGTTTATGTTGGTGATACCATTCCCAAATCAATTGCTGGTGTAATTGTCATTCAGGCTACTTATCCATGAAAAGTTGATCGTTTAAGAATTTTATATCCAACATTATAATAACTAAGATTTTATATGTAAATTTTCAATTACAACACTAAACGCACCTATTATAACATGAAGTCCACAAAAAACAATCATTCTTAATACAGTTCAAAACATCCATAAGATAGAGCATAATGTAATTTAAATCATTATTCTATGACTCTCATACATTTGCTAAGTAATAACTAACTAACTAACATAATCTTGTTAACACGAGGGAAAAAGTGAAAGAGTGAAGTGAGAGTTGAGGAAAAGGACTTAGATTTTGATTTGGGTGGTCATTCAATTGCATTTTTACTATATTTTTTTCTTGAGTTACTCTCACTATCATTGATAGGTTACAATTTGATCCATGTATTTTTTTTATATGTAAAGAAATGCTCTTGATTGGGCGGAAATAAGTATGGTATGAGGCGGGGAGGCTAAAACCATACCCGCCCAATACCCAACAAACGGTTTACGAGTTTTACCCACACCCAATCAATATGGGGATTCCACACGTTAATCGATTACCCACGAGCATTAGTTTGATTGTCCTCCCTACTAAACACCAATTCAGTCAATTCTTTATCAACACTCTAAACATAAATGAATTAATCTGATTTCTCTTCAATTCTATTCTTCCTCATTCGACCTCTTCCACACTTTTGGAACAGGCGTGTGTGTACTGTATATAACCGAACTCATCCAAGTCTGGAAAAAAAATGCCACGCACTACCTGCCTGCAACTAACTAGCACCGCAACATTAATTTTTTGTCCCGCCTCGTCCGTCTTTCCACCGGCGCCGCTCTTGGCAAAATGGCGACGAGGAAACTGCAGCCGCAGCTTAAGGTCGCCATGTTCCCATTGTTCGCCGTCGGCCACATCACCCCGTACATCCACCTCTCCAACCGCCTCGCCGCCCGCGGCCACCGCGTCCACTTCCTCCTCCCCGGCCCCACCACCCTCGCCAAGCTCGCCCCCCTCAACCGCCACCCCCACCTCATCACCTTCCACCCAATCGCCGTCCCCCACGTGGACGGCCTGCCACGTGGCGCAGAGACCACCGCCGACGTGCCCCGGCACCTCATCCCCTTAGTGTTCGCCGCGATGGACGCCACGGAGGACCAGTTCAGGTCCATCGCGGCACGCGTGGGACCCCTGGACGTCGTCCTCTACGACTCGTCCATGTGGCTCCCACGCATCGGGCGTGAGGTCGGCTTCCTCACCATGACCTACGGGATCGTCTCCGCCTCCGTGATGGCGCTCCGGCTTGTCCCCTCCGCGAGGCTCGCCAAGGGGATGACCGACGAGGAGATGGCGATGACGCCGCCGGGCTACCCGCCGCAATCGGCGGTGCTGCCCCGGCCCGACGAGATCAAGCAGTCGAGGATCTTCGCCGAGAAGTTCGGGTCGGTCTCTCTCTACGACAGGATCGTGACGTCGGTTTCGGGCTGCGACGCCATGGCGCTGAGGACCTGCTGGGAGCTGGAAGGCGTGTTTGTCAAGTACGTGGAGGAGCAGTACGGGAAACGGGCTTTCCTGACTGGGCCGGTTCTGCCGGATTTAGATTTAGGGCTGGGCCTGGACGAGAAATGGGCCGCATGGCTGTCGAAATACCCGCGAGGATCGGTACTCTACTGTGCGTTTGGCAGCGAGAGCCTTCTCCAAAAGGACCAATTCCAAGAGCTTCTCCGGTGAGGTTTCTAGTTTTTTTTATTACCTTCTTTCATAATTGTTTTATATATAAACCGGAGTTATTGGGGAAAAAATTAATATTGGATCTCAAATAACTTGTTTCATTTTTTTTTTTTATTAATATACTATTTAATAGATTCGAACTCGGAACCTTTAGATTTTCAACTAGTGATATTACCACTAGACCAAATCCTTATTCTCCCAAAGGAAAGCTAATTTATGAATTTGACGCTCGTACAGGATTCGCATACTCTGTGTTTAAAAGATAGAAGAATTGTTAATATTGGAAGTGGAAGGTTAATTATGAATCTTATATTATATCCTGTAGAGGGTTCGAGTTATGTGGGAGGCCTTTTCTGGTGGCGCTGAAGCCACCGGAAGGGTGCGCGACCGTGGAGGAGGGGTTTCCGGAGGGGTTCGCGGAGAGGGTGATCGACGGCGAGGGAGGGAGAGGGTTGGTGTGCGGTGGGTGGGTGCCGCAGCTGCAGATTCTGGACCACCCGTCGGTCGGGTGCTTCGTGAGCCACTGTGGGTTCGGTTCGATGTGGGAGTCGCTGCTGAGTGACTGCCAGATCGTGTTGGTACCCCAGCAGAACGATCAGATCGTGGGGACGATGTTGATGACGAAAGATTTGAAAGTGGGCGTGGAGGTGGAGAAGGACGAGGAGGGTTGGGTGAGCAAGGAGAAGTTGAGTGAAGCCATTGAAATGGTGATGGATGAAGGGAGCGAGATTGGAAGGGTGGTGAGGGAGAATCATTTGAAGCTGAGGGAGGTTTTGGGGGATGGGAATTTGCAGGAGAGGTACGTTGATGGGTTTGTTTGTCAACTCTATGACCTGCTCGAAAAATGTTAAGGAGTTTCTTCGACGTGTCATGTTTTTTTTTATTGGGTTGTTTCTTCATTTTGTCGGCGCTACTTTCCATTTGGCTTGAATAAAATTGTAACATCTTTGATTCTTGAGTTCAGATTTGACAAATAATAAAAGTAAGAGTTGGATCGACGATTAACTGTGAGAAATGGAACTTGCATAAAAAAAAATTGTGAAGTTTGGATTGCAGAGCACAAAGTTATGATCCTCTAAAGTTTGACGAATAGAAAAATTGCTTGTTCGTGGTAGCAAATAAAGTTTTTTTGAGACGAAGGCGAGAAAAAATTGCCTACGACGTTTGCGGATTGCAAGATCTCGAAAAAGTATGTGGAATAAAAAAAAATTAACAACGATTGGATACCGAGCGCAAAGTTATGTTAATTTGAGTTTTAAAAAAAAAATTCATACTCAAACAGGGGGGTGGAGTGGCAGTTTTTAGCCGGATCGCTGAGGCGACGCACGATCAATCTAGCCACGGCGATCTCATGCACTTTTCAGCCGGCAGAAACGAAAAACCGCGGCACCCACTGCGCTTTTCGTATAAACCGGCATATGAGGCCGCGATTTTTGGAAAAAGGTGGTGGTATTTATGGAAGTTTATATTTTCTGGTGGTATTTCTTGAAAATTCCCATAAATATGAGTAAATAATCTTAGTCCAGCTGGGACCTGTTTGCTAATAGTTTAGGGCAAAACAGGTCAAACTAATTGTAACCATTGGTTTAGTATAAAACTACATACTAACTCCATTCAATCGGTCAATATAAGCTAGGGTCAATTAACTAATCATCCAACTTGTAAATTATCCGTTGCTTTAGTTGTCACCTTGACTTTGCTCCAATACCAAGCACTCCAAAAGTCATCTTTATCGACCAAAAAAACGTCATCACTAATTGTTGCCAACAAAATAGTAAGATCACATAAAAAAATACAACGTATGAAGTGTATAACATCAAGAAATTGAGTGATAAGAAAAGCCTGAAGCTACTCGATCTAGAGTCCTTTGACCAAGGAGAGCCTAATTAAGAAGGGTATGAAGAGCTTTTTCAAGTGTATTTTGATGTATTGCCAAGGGCTTCAATTGGAAAGTGAAGTTTTGGTATAGGAGGGGAAAAAAAGGAGAGTTTGAAGGATACAAGAAATTGGGTCATTAACAATTACCACATTTAATAAGTACGTAACAAGTGTTACGAGTAGAATTTGTTTTTACAAATAATTTATTCAAACAAAAATTATCAAAGTTGTACTATAACTGAATAAATGAATTACAAGAATGTATTACGTTGAAAGTAATAATACATTAATGTATTTGTTAAATTGACACACTATCAGAAATGCGGAACCAAACATTATCATATTATATATGGATAACTAATAGATGTCAAATGTCCGCAACTTCGATAATCTCGTCTTTTTGAGAATACCCGGTAAAATTGATATGTTAATCATCTTAACGTTGCATGATTTCGACAACTTGAAGATCATCATGAACCTTAGCCTACTATATTATAAGTTGTTCTAAAAACATAGTCCTATTTAGGTTAGGCGCTTTAACCTATAGCTAACTAGGAAGAAGACAGGGAAACTTCTTTCTCAACCACCAAGGAATTAACAAGTTTTCTAAATATCAAGTGCATATATCATATTGGGAAATAAACTATATTACAAAGGCAAAACCACATGACCTCCATTCAACAAAGAATGACTCCTCCTCCTCCTCCTCATCTTCCTGCTGCTTTATCTTCTTCTTCCCATTCTCACCATCCACCTCATCGATCATGGAAACACGACGTCTTCCTGAGCTTCAGAGGGCGCGACACTCGCAGGAACTTCACCGCCCACCTCTACGGCGCCTTGACTCGACGAGGGATCAAGGCATACAGGGACAGCAACGAGCTGGAGAGAGGCGATTCCATCGAGCCATCGTTGTTCGAAGCCATCGAGCAATCGAGGTTTTCGATCATCGTGTTCTCCAAGAACTACGCGTCGTCTGCGTGGTGCTTGGAGGAACTTGTCAAGATCGTCGAGTGCAAGAAGAGGCTGTTGGGTCATACCGTGTTTCCTGTTTTCTACGACGTGGATCCGATGGATGCAAAGTATCGAAAGAGGGCGTTTCGTCGTCACGAGAAAACTTGCGGGGTAAATTACAAGGAGAAGAAGAGGAGATGGAAGGAAGCTCTTGATGAAGTCGGGGAGATAGTTGGCTGGGATGCCAGAAACGAGTAAGTCGATCTATTTTAATTTGCTTCCATCTCCTTGTGCTAAATAAGCTTCAACATAGTACCCTTTTTACTTGAGGTAAAATTTTGAGTACCATGTCTAAATTTGCCAATTGATGTTGTTCTTTCCATTTATTTTGATGTTGTTTGGTTTTAGTACCTTTATGTATGTGTTTTTTAATTAACATTTGAGGATGGAAATGAAGTAACTAGAGAGGGATGTTTTGGTCAATGAATTATTAACAATAATAGTCTAGGGCCACATAAACAAATGTTACATAATTGAGAGACAACATGTGAAATTGAATTAGTCAACGTACATATAGCCAGGAGTCCATATTAAGTAATCTCAACTTGCCCTAACCCCAATCCCAAGTAGTGGAAATTCATTAGATATAGACGTACAGTTCCAATTTGATTACTTTCAAGAACCTAATAAAAAAGTTGATGACTTAATTAAGCTTCAATATATATTACCTTTTGTTGACTTTATGAGGCCAAAAGTTAGTTGACCCTGATCCCAATCATCATGACGTCCAATTCATAATGTTCTCATCTCAGTTTGTTTTCGGTTAACCATTAACTTATTTTGAATATTACAAATGCTTACTAATAATTCCTATCAATTAATCACTTGTGTGTTTAGAGGTTAACAATACATGTGACATTTTCTTTTGTCCTTGCTATTTTTTTTGGTGATTTTCTTTTAAATAATAAAATATAATCATATAAGTTAGTTCAAAAAATATTTAACTATGGTTATACATCATTAACATAAAACAGCAGATCATAAGAAATGAAATGAATACAATATATCATCCATGGTAAATTCATAATTCATATTTCAACACTTAAAATTAGAAATAATTCAACGTGTTCATCCAGTTAGCGAGCATCAACTAGCTAGACATGAAACACAAACACAACAAGATCATCATCATTCACAAACATCAAAGAAATCAAAGAAGCAAAGACTAATGTGGAGTGAAGTTCGCTCCGTACTGCAAAGGTAGCTGAAGAGAAGGGTGACTTTAGGGTTCCGACTCTAACACATTTGGAACTATGGGTAGAAGGTTTTTGCAATAGGTGTGAATTGAGATGTTTAAAATGTCTACTTTGTTTGGTCTACAATTATGGACATTTTCACTTAGCTTAAGATTGTATGGTTATACTAGTCTTATCGGTATGCTTATCAGTTAACCATTAAGCAAAATTAGCTAACCAATAACCGAACTGCAAAAAATTGTTGATTAGTGGTTAACCACTAATGATCAATTCGGTTATCGATTTTAGTCGATGATCGAATAACCATTTACCAATCAATTCCTATTCCCATCATCCTTATTTATTCTCGATGGATCAAGCTAAAATAGTATCCAGACGGTCTATAGTTATTACGATAAATACATGAATTCGAACAATGAGTCAAGGACATGCTCACCTAATGAACCTTATTTTGTTCTTCAGGGATCAAGCAGAAGTAGTTGACAAAATTGTTGAACGCATATGGGACTTACTAAACCAGACGTCTAAAACCATCATGGACGAACACTTGGTCGGAATGGACTCACGAGTCGAGGAAGTCAGCAAGCTCATCGGGCAAGATTCAGAAGCTAACGTTCGAGTCATTGGAATTTGTGGGATGGGCGGCATTGGCAAAACAGAGCTAGCTAGAGTTGTCTACAACAACCTACAACTCCAATTCCAAGGGAGATCATGTTTCCTTCCCAACGTTAGGGAATCTTTCGAGAAGCATGGAGCAATGCATGTTCAAGAACACCTCCTCTCGAACATCCTCATGGAAAAGAACATCAGGATATGGGACCAAGAGAAGGGAAAGACGATGATAAGGGATTGCTTGGGAGACAAGAAAGTTCTCATCGTTCTGGACGACGTGAATAACCCTCAACAATTGGAGGCACTTGCTGGTAATCGAGATTGGTTCGGTTCAGGAAGTCGAATCATTATAACGAGCAGGGATAAAAGATTTATAGACATGTATGGAAGTTCGGGTGAGGTATATAACCTCGAGAAATTGAGTGATACGGAAAGCCTTAGGCTACTAAGTTTGAAGGCATTTGACCAAGAAGAGCCTAAAGAAGGGTATGAGGAGCTTTCTAAGTGTGTTTTAAAGTATTGTCAAGGGCTTCCATTGGCAATCAAAGTTTTGGGTCGTTCTCTTCATGGAAGAAGAAGCAAACATGATTGGGAGAGTCGAATTGCAAAGCTAAAGGAGGAATACTATGATAATTCCATTTTTGGAGTTCTTAAGATAAGTTTTGATGGGTTGGAGGCACATGAACAAGGGTTGTTTTTGGATGTTGCTTGTTTCTTCAAGGGGAAGGACATAAGTGAAGGCAAAAGGATACTCACCAGTTGTGGGTTTGATGTTGACAATGGATTGGAGATCCTGACTGAGAGGTTCCTTATGACAATTTCTTATGGCAAGTTGGAGATGCATGACTTGTTGCAAGAGATGGGGAGAGAAATCGAGAGGAGAGAATCTCCTCATAATCCAGGAAAGCGCAAACGTCTGTGGAATTTGGAAGATGTTCGTTATGTCTTCGAGCAAGCTATAGTAAGTATAACTATACAAATATTTTTTTACATGATATTAGGGTTTTTTCCCCCCTATAATTGTATGATAAGAATTGATGTTGAATTTAAAATTTGAATTTGAGTGTGAATGTATATGATCGTTTTTTACCCTATGCAGGGAACAGAAGAGGTACTAGCTATAGTGTTGGATGTGTCAGACAAGGATATGGAGCAAATGGAGCTCAATGTGGATGCTTTCTCGAAAATGTACAACTTGAGATTGCTCATCATGAGAAATGTGAAATTTGACCAAGGCCCTGCAAGTCTTCCAAATGGATTAAGATATATTGATTGGGATGGTTATCCTTCACAGTCTTTGCCAGCTTCTTTCAGACCAAACAACCTTGTGGAGCTTAACTTGTGCCATAGTAGCATAAGGCAACTCTGTTGTGGAAAGACTAAGGTAACTCGTATTATCGTTTTTCGTATTCATATATGTTATTAGATCGGTTTATGGTTACTTGCACTTAATTTGGAATTTTTTCTTTTTGTGTTTTCCATTTCAATTTGGCTCTCTAATCTCACTTATCCTATCTATCTTCTTACCCATATCCGTTATTTCATGCTTAATGATCTACGTAAAAGGGGGAAAAATGAATTTCAAGTATATGCGGCATATGAATACCCGAATAAGTTTTTATTAAGCATTGATCGATTTGACTGACAACATATTTTGACTAAATTCTAGGAAATGTTCTCAAAATGGACGAGTAATCATAGTACATTGAAAATTTTATTATACATGTTAAATTTATTATAAAAACATGTATAGGGACTGCAAAGTTGAATTACCCTATATGTTATGATTAACTTACTGATGTATGTGTAACTCTGCACTCAACAGGATTTCAGCAACTTGAAGTCCCTAAACCTGAGCCACTCCCACAACCTAATCAAAACTCCAGATTTCAGTGCAATGCAAAAGCTGGAGAGGCTGGTCTTGGAGGACTGCACCAGTCTTAATGAGATTAATCCAACTATAGGAACCCATCTCCAATACCTCATCCACCTGAATCTTAATGGCTGCAACATGATCACCAACTTCCCAAACAATGTTAGGAAAATGAAATCTCTACAAGAACTTCTACTTGATGGCACCAACATTGAACAACTCCCCGAATCGATCCGCTTTTTCACCTCTCTATCAAAACTGAGCCTCAAAAACTGCAAGAGCCTCAAGGCTGTCCCAAAGAGCATCAGCAGGTTAAAGCACTTGAAGGTTCTTAATCTCTCTGGATCCTCTCAGCTTGACAGGTTGGATAGAGTGGGGAGCTTGGAAGAGCTTGATGTGAGTGGTACCGCCATCAGAAGTCCACTGATCTCCAACTTCTATCTCAACAATCAAAAAGGGCTGCCTCAGCTTTATGGAATTGGGTTCCCTTTCTTGAGGATCTTGAACTTGGCAAATTGTGGTCTGATGGCAGGGGATTTTCCCAAGGACTTGGGTAGTAATTTGCCATCTTTACATTCTCTGGATCTAAGCCATAACAACTTTGTCATCCTGCCTGAAATTGCACAAATGCTGAAGCTCTATGAGCTTCACCTGGAGAGTTGCAAGATGCTCAAGTCCTTGCCGGAGCTTCCACCGAGGATCAAGTACGTGGTGGTGAATCGTTGCGAATCGTTGGAGAAGTTGCCAAACCCGATTAAGGTTCGCAGCAACTTGTTTTTCCTGGAAGGCTTTGGCTGCCCGAAGTTGCAGAATCGCCAGAATGATGGGTTTAAAATGTTCCTGAGATACCTCAAGGTAATTTGATCTTGTGAATTGTGATTCTCATTAAGTTCCCAACTATTTCATTTGTAGAATTGGTGAAAAGATAATTTCTTCATTTACCTTTTGGATTGATCAGGGCTGCTGGAATACCCTGCTTCCCAGGGAAAGATCAGGCATTGTGGTTCCTGGAAGCAGGATTCCGACATGGTTCACTCATCAGGATGAAGGAATCTCAGTGAAGATACCGATTCCATCGATTTATCGTAAGAGGGATCTCGGCGATGATGATGATCACGACATAATGGGGCTCGCGATTTGTGTAGCTCTCAGAGTGGCGGATCCTAATGACCGTGGTGATGGCGGTGCTGATGCATCCGTACATCATAAGGACTCGTCAGCAGCTGCACCAGATAGCGAACGACATGACAGAGCTCGTGATACATACGATGAAGATGACAACGATGACGATGACAATGATGCTGAAATGCGTGAGTATTCATCGGATTCAGATGCTTTAGATGACGACTGTTATGATGGCGTTAATGAATCCTTCTACCATCAGGATTCATCAGCCCCAGATGGCGAACTAAGCAATGAAGCTAGTGATGCATACTATAGTGAGGTCGAATCGGATTATGATGACGATGATGATGATGATGATGAGGACGATGTTGAGTACTCAATAGAGTCAGATGATGAATATGAAAATGAGAATTACGAAAAATGTAGCTTCTCCAGAAAGAGGAAGTACGCCACATATGCAGAAGAGCCAGAAGAAGGAGAAGTTGTTGAACCAGGAGACCATCTCTGGTACTTTTTCATCCCTTACTATAAGTTCATAGAGTACCTGAAAGGGCAGCGCCATGTTTGTGTCGAGCTCGAAGGCTGCGAAGAACTGAAGGTAATGAGGTTAGGCTGCCGCCTTGTTAGACACGGAGACATTGAGAAAGCATATATGAGAACAAACGAAGGAGGAAGAGGAGAAGAAGAAGATGAAGATGAAGATGATTTTCCTCACCATGATCAAGAAGCAGAGGATGGCATTAATGGAGATGAGAAGAAGAGCAATTACAAGAGCCAAGCCACTTACAACATCTGCTACCACGAGGACAAAATGATGATGATAGGCATGTACTTCTTCTATGGTGGAAACCCGAATGCCGCCTCATCATCAAGTAGCCAGACTACTGATCGTGCTTCTCTTGGTGTCTATCTCTACCGCAGATAGAAAACTGTAAGAAAAAAAGTCAAATCTCAATTGACCACATTCAACCGCTTTTTTCCATTCATCAAAATGTTACAAATCATTCCCGGCAAGCAACAAGTACATATGGTTGAACATTAACCAAATGGCAGAAACCAAAACTCCTGGGACACAAACATCCCAACAAGTATACAAATCATTCCTCTGTTTTGTAAGCGGTAACATCTCGATCACTCTGTTTCAACTGCGTATTAGAGATCAAACTAGTACGATTGTAACACAATTTTATCGTCGACTCTCTTGTACATGATCTTTAATGATGTCTCATTGGGGCACGAACGGTTGAACCGTGTTGCACATTCCGGGGTTCCTGAGGCACCACAACGGTTGAATCGGTTCGGCCTTAATCCCTCTCCCAACCATCCTATACCTCCACTCATTCAACCGATCCGTCGCCTCCGCAAACCTCTTCCTCCCCTTCTCGTCCCGATTCCCCGACCACATCGCCTCCGCCATCGCCGCCGCTCGCGGCCAAACCTTCCCGTCGAGCACCGTCCCGTCCGCCTGCTCCGACCACAACGCCACCTCAGCACCCAACACCTTCCCCTTTTCCACCTCACTCAACCCATACGTGATGTCATAGTTGTACACCTTCTGCCACGTCTTGTACGGCCCGCACCACGACCCGCCGTTGCTGTCCACGTCGCTGCTCGTCGGCGGCGGGTCGTACTGGCTGTCGTTCCCCAGGAAGTCGCCGTGGCCGCAGTCCAGGTAGTAGTACTCCCACGAGGAGACGATGACACGGTACCCGGCCGCGGCGAGCAGCTTGGTGTTGTTGGGCCCGTTGTTCCACGTCTGGAACACGGTGTGCTCCGGTGGAAAAACGGCCGGGTTGACTTTGATGCCGGCGTCGAGGATGACGTCTTCCCAGTACACGGCGGTCTTGTTGTGGGAAATGATTTGGGGGAAAGTCTTGTTGATGAAGGTTTCGAGGATCTGGCTGAGGGTGCCGTTTTGGGAGAGGAAGGATTGGATGGACGGGTCGGTTTTCCAGCAACCCGGGACGACCTCGTCGGCGCCGGCGTGGAAGAATGGGTCAGGGAACAATGATGCGATGTCGTTGATGACGTTTCCGACGACGGTGTAGGTTTTGGGGTGGAGTGGGTTGAGCTGACCGGTTCCTGGCTCGGAGGCTAACCGGTCGGCCCATGAGCTGCCGGCCGGCCACCAGAACTTGTCCGCGCAGGTTATTATTTCCGGGTAGGCTCCGGCCCAGGAACCCGTGTGTGCTGCAAAAAATGACAGAGAAATAATTAGTGATTAATTAAAGAGGATTAGTTTGGATCAATCTATTAGGCACTAGGTAGCTAGTGTTTTGTTGCCATTGTCACTCTCCTTTGTCCCACGTAAGAAACAATGCAATTAATATATTAACAGATTTAATCATATTTTTGTGAGTCTTGAAGTCAAATTACTCAATTTTTATAAAAAACAATGGATAAATTTGGCAGCTCATAGGTCTATTCACTATTGTGTGCATTTGTGAGTGATTTCTCCAATAGCAAAATGCTTTTTTTTTTGGATCGTTAGCAAAATTATTATTCAGTTTAGTACATTTATATAAAAATGATAAAGTTAAAAAAATATATACGAGTGATTCACTTTTTAAAAGTGAGTTTTTCAATTACATCATATTTGTATATTTACTCTTTAAGGACTGAAATCAGTATCTTACATATTTGAAGTTATATCATTTTATTCATTAAGGAGGATCGAAATCAGCAAGCTTAAATATATGAAAATTACAAGAGGATGATATCTATCATTTAATCAACAATGTCTTTCATTTATCATTCTTTAATACGAGTCACTATCAGTCTCAAGGTTCAAACCGACGGTATGATTATAATGGTCACAAATCTTACGTTATCATCATGTAAATCTCTTAAAGTAAAATAAACACTATTTACCTCTTTTGAATATTACTTATTTCACATGATATTACGTGACTGTATGAAAAACATTGTTTGACTCAACGGATCATTTGTTTTATAGGCGTAATCAACTCTATCGATGAAGTCGATGGCAGTCCAATTTTAAAATACGGACCCCACCAATTCCCAATGATTAATTAAACACAAAGAACAAATTAAACAAACACTAAGCACAAACAATAATTTGGAACGAAAACAAACAAAAAGGGGGGAAAACAGAGTACTAACCGGGAGTGTCGACCTCGGGCACAACCCGGACCCCATGCTCGTACCCGTACTGCACGACCCGACCCACATCCGCCACCGAATACCTCATCCCCCTTCCGTACGATCCTTTCGCCGCGAGCCCGGGCTCCGACGGCAGCTCCAACGGGAAAGAATGCGAATCCGTAATATGCCAATGGAAGACATTCATCTTGTTGTAGCTCATCGCCCGAATCGTCCTCAGGATATCCTCCACCGGGTAGAAATTCCTTGAAGTGTCCAGCAGAAACCCCCTGTGCCCGAACAGAGGCGCGTCGCGGATCTCGATCCCAATCGGCACGCGCCGCCCGTGCAGCCGGCCCCACACCAGCTGGGAGAAGGTCTCCAGCCCCCGCATAGCACCCCACACGGTGGCGGCGGTGAGATTGGCGGTTGCGTCCGCGGCGGCGTAATTGGGGATGGAGAGGGTGTAGGATTCGTCGGCGCCGTGGACGAGCGGGGCGGCGAGGTCGGCGACGGAGATGGAGAGGGATTGGAGGGGAGTGGGGGATGTGGAGAATTTGGTGGTGGGGTCGGAAATTGGGCGGTGGCGCTCGGAGGAGATGAGGCGGTGGTAGCGGGAGACGGCGGCGGAGAGGTAGCGGTTGGATGAGGGGCAATCGAATTGGAAGGTTGGGGAGAGGGAGGCGATCGTGTGCGGGGAGGACCAGGATATGGAGGTGGGTTTGGGCCAGACGTTGACCGGCAAGGCGGCTGTGGCGGAAGAGTGGATGAGGAGGAGGGTGAGTAGCTGCGAGAGGACGTGGCGGGTGGTGATTGGGTGAGAGGGCAGGGGAGCCATCTCGCCGGAGCTGGGGGAGAAGGGTTTTTTTTACGCCGGAAGAGGTTTGTTTTCCCGGCGAGGAATGAGTGGTGGGGTAGTGAGCTTGCTGGTTCCCTGTACAAGTATATATATAGTGGGACTAGGATGGGTTGGGGAGTGAGCAATTGTGGCGGCATAACCAATTGAGTATTAATCTTAATCGCGCGCTAATGACAAATCTAGAGTCTGGTGGCTGTTTATGGTTGTTGTTTAGTGGATTTATGGAGGGTTATCATTTTTTAGGTTGGACTGCCCCTCACAAGGGCCACTTGGAGTAAGTGTCCGGTTCTCTCTCAATATAACCTTAATTATATTGAAGTTTAGTTTTTCCTAGTATCGATTGATAAACACATTGGTTTAAATTGTTATGAAATTCGAAAATTGTTATTGATGGATAATTGGTAATTGATTCGAATTCGAGTGATTGTTAAAAAAAATTCTGAATGATTTGCTCCAAAATATAGGTGTTGGATTTACAGCATGGTGACAAATCAATGGGCCCATGATAATTATTTACTTGCATATGCTCTTGTTTTTGTCATATATTCCCACCATTCTCTTACTCCCCTTCTAGCTAGTGACAGTAGAATAGTAATTTTCAGTTTGTCAAGTTTGAGTTTCAATCAATGGGGACTATCTATGGTTCTGCCTAAAAGATTTGATGTAAGAGATCACAAAATCTGTATCAGATCATGAAGGATATCATCCAGTATCTCTGTATGAGACCAAGTAGCCCCCAATTAGGACTATCTGAATATCAAGAACAAAAGAGAATTGGGCACTTCATCAAATGCAACGACGATCTGATTATCATCTAAATATACAGAAACAAAAGATCATTATTGTAAAGGGAACATTTTTATGGGAATTAAGCTGGCCATTCTATTGTACATCACGTCAACTATTTTAATTTATACGACTTCTATAGAGAGTAGAGGGAACATTTTTATGGTAATTAAGCCGGCCAATGATGTTCTTTTTTTGTCTTTCAGCTTTTGTTTTCATCAATAAATTTGTACTTAATATCATCGATCTAAATATACTGTAATCAAAGGTGATTACCGCAAACAAAAGACTTTTGTGATTAAACTACTCGTGGGTATATTAATCGGACAGCCATCGAGAATTTGAATCTAATACACATAACTTAAAAAATTATTAGGAGGGAAGAGACAAGTGTAGCTTCGTCCCTTGTGGTTTTAGATGACGAGACTAGCTAACAGATAAAATTATGTGTAAAATTTATTAAATGACAGAATTTCAGAAATTGCGCCGTTTCATTAGATAGATAAAAGTGGGAATTTAAATGGATGGAATTCTCAACTCTCTAACCTTCAATCCCGTCATCTCAATTCTCTATCAAATAGGTAAGATTTGTCAATTCTATATATCCATGGTTTGAAACAACAAATTAACACAATTCCTTCTCTAAAATGATTTATTCACATAACAATATTTCAATGATTCCTTTCCATGTAAATTTCATCGAATTAAATTCCACATATTTTACCTTTCCACCACAATCCAAAATTCCCTTCATCCAAACCACCCTGGCCCCTGAGTGGTGCTTCCTACACTACATTTGACGACAGGATAGTAATCACTTTCAACTTCGCCGGATCCTAAAAAATAAATAAAAATACGAGATGTGAAATTGGAACGGGAGCGAGGACCCGTTAGCCACGGCGACGGTTTTGCTTGCATTAAAGAATTATTGGGCAAACGGCGGCCGGCACCGGGCGTTGCCATTTGTCCTCTCCACGATTGTCTCATCGATCTTCACTCCTTTCCAAACTCCGGAAACCAACACATGAAATTATACGAAACATCAAACATGTGATGTAACGATCAAGAAAGTCAAAACCTAATAAGACGAATATAATTAATTAAGAACAACCTGTGTTACGTACGTACGTAGCTTCTCAATAAGCAAAGCTAAGCAATTCATCGATGTTGAGTAGGATTTTACATAGCTTGGGGTTTAAGAAACTGTGTTTGTGCCACGTGTGCGATGCGTGATTTTCTTGGTTTGAAATGACAAGTATGTAAATATGTTGATGTAGTCCTCCCATTCTTGTGAGCTATAAATTTGTTTATGTTGTGTACAGATTAGATACGGCTAGAGTTACTACATACTCATACTTGTGATAGCTAGTATGGAATACGAGATCAACACGGAAAAATGTACCATAATTGTTTAATTAATGTAACATCGACTCCTTAAACACTTTTTATTTAGCATCAATCCATTCTCTGTGTGTGGAACTCTTGCAATAGTTCAAATTATTGATACCAGTTGGTTCATGACATTTTCTATCCACAATCCTCGTATAAAATCTAAATGTCATTGTTGCTACTATTGATGTGTTATGCGTATTATGTATATAGATTACAAAATTAGCTAGTTACTCGAGATAACTTCTACGAAGAAATTAAAGTGGGTCAATGCGATGGAAAACTACGTCCGTAGGAAAGATAACATGCATGCATTGACGTATGGGCCTAGCTAGCTAGGATTGTGATTTGTGGGTGCTATCAATGACCTTTTTGGTTGGGCTGGACATGAACTTGAATGGGCTAAGCCTAAGACGTGAAGCGGAATGGCAGATAGAGAGTTAATTGGACCCAGAACCTCCAAACCCCAATTAATAGAAGGAAGTTGTTCTTTCGCATCCCAAAAGGCAGATTTGGTCATGTGATTTTTAGTTTTAACGTAGGATTTTGATCCTATAACTTATGATTTCAAGACTCACAGTACAACCTCTTTTCTTTCCCCCGTTAAGGAACCCATAAAAATTTGTGATTTCATTTACATCTACACTACTACAATATTTAAGATAATAGATAAATAATAGACTCACTAGGAATCGAGTCGATGACCTTAAAATCATCGTCATGGTGCTGACATTATATGATCAACAGTTTGTCGGTGTCCTCAATAGGTAATGTTTTCACTAGCATAATTTTAAAGAATGGGAGAAAAACATCGTTTGGTTACTGATACCGCCATATCGATAATTCGTTTGTGTCTTCTATATGCTATTGATATGAAGCAGTTCAGAAATCGAAGCCAGCAAAATTATAAATAAATAAAAAAAAAGAAATCGAACATTGGAAATAGAGAAAGAAGGGATATGAGGGGTGAGGAATCCTTATGTATGCATGTTATGAAGACATATTGTAAGAAAGGAAAGATAGCATATCATCTCATATCGTTTTGCTTTATCATTTACCCTTTAAGGGAATGGAAGGGAGAGTAGTGATGATCGATTGTTGAATGCATGGGGCTTTGGGTGATCACTTTTCAAAATCTGCCTATTTCTAAACCAAAATTGAACAAAAAGGACAAAGAGGAACATTCCTAACGTTAAAACAAAGTTTAATCCTTATACCATCCTTCTCTCTCACTTTCATGTGTGTGTTTCCCTTCTTTGATACAATTTTCCTTCTTTGTTTTCTTTCTTTTGTGTGTGTTTCTTGGTTCTCATCATGGATTCTAACTTTGCCTAAAAAAGTCGAGAAAAAGCAAAGATGATGTATATGACCGATTCTTCAACTTCATTCAACATGGATGATCATATGGGCTAATAGAAAACTTAGCAATGAATTCAACTCTTTTATTCTTTATGAACCATATAATGATCGACTATCGTTAATAAAATCAATCATTAGTGTTAACAGAAATTCACAACCTCTCCTATTTAGCTACTTTTTATTTCAAAAAAAAAAAATTCTACCAAGAACACCTTTTCCCTAACGAATCATTTTCAGTTAATTCGAAATCAAAATCAAAGTTCAAGATTGTAGAAAACTACCCCCACCCCTCCCTCCTTTGTGCAAACTTATGCATTATGTTATATATTCTATGTACACTACTTTTTCATGTCTTTGAGTAAAGGAAAGTTTTGTTGCAAAGCCCAATACTGATCTTTTTCTTTCTTTAGCAATCATCTATGTAAATTTTGCAACACATTATTGTGCCAAATGCAAGAAAGTTATATAAAACCCATCATTGGGTTTTTGAACCCTTCTTCACATAAATGAACATAATATTATAGAATGAATGAAAAAAAATTGAGAGCTAGCTAGCTGGTGACATGATGGTTGTGGAGTTGCTTTGAGAGATTGGGATCAGGCTTGACTATGCTTTTCTTGCTGAAGAAGATCTGATCACATTCTCTCTGATGAGCATATGTAGGCATATCTTTTGGCCAAAAGAGAGAGCTTTTATACTTGATCACTAGCTGATGATGTTTTATCTATATGGGTGCCCTTCGAGTTCTGCAGAACAGAAGAAGGGTATCTTTGATCTTTCTTTCCCTTCCCTTGCCCTAAGAGAAAAGAGACAGTGGGGGAAAAAGAAAGGAATCCACATTGGATTGTTTGTAGCTATAGCCCTTGGAATAAAGGGTACCATACCATGCACTACCAGTGATGAAGGTTTCTCTTTGGGTGGCAGGCATGCATGCAGTGAGTAGGCCCAGCTTATTGATATTGAAGGGATTCACTTGAAAGCAAGGTTGTCGAATCGGTTTATGTCAATGTACCAGTTTAGCAAGTGGGATGGTTCGACCGGTGGCACATACCAGTTATGTGCCAATTATAGTGTTCCTTATACATTTAATTAATCTAATAATAAGGTGGATTACTATATATATTGCACTTGTCACTTTTAGGAAGACGTGAGAAAGAGAAGCAAGTAACGGCTACTCGGCTAGGCGCCAGTCTAATTAACAGAAGCAAGATTTGAAGGTAGCTAGCCTTTACTAAACGGGTGATTAAGTACAAGCATTCGTTGCTTAAAGCTGGGTTAGCCCCAAGGGGGAAGCAAGTTAAGTTGAATTAAAGAAGGAATAAAGCAAAGTTCAAATCAACACAGACAAAGAAGACACATAAAAAGTTGACGAACTAAAAGCAAAGTACCCCTATGCCCTAACCCAACCATGAAGCAATTGCGAAGGAATCCATATGTGCCACTAATTTAAATTGTTAGCAAAAAGTTGATTAGTGGCACTAGCTAGTTTATCCTCTATTGTCCACATATTTGTTCATATAGAAATCTATAGCTCACCCGAGATTTGTACGATCCATCTTGACGAGGGTATTTGTGTTAGTTGCTAATATTGGAGTTCTGATGATTCAAAAGAGATGCATCTCAATGATGGTAGTAACTTGAAATTTGCATCATCGACCATGATGAGAATGAGACATCTTAATTATTAAACGTTACCAAAATAATCCGATTCAACTAACTCAAGTTGTTGCGAAATACCACTACTTAAACGAAAAAAATACTATGTCCTTTATTTTCTTATATATATAGTAAAATTTGAAAATATATGCCATTTATTTTCTTGTATTTTTAGTAAAATTTCAAAATAATATGCTTTCATTGAGAGTTGAACTCAAGACCTCCCGCTTACTAAACGGGTGCTCTAACCAACTGAGCTATGAAAGCATCTTACCATATTACTTCTATATATATTTCTATCTGCATCTTTCTAACAAGCTTAAATCTTGCACATATATACTCGGGATGGGATTAGGTGCTAACCCTTATAGGGGTTAGCACCGTGATAACTAGCAAAAAGTGCTACTAAAAACAACGAAATCACTACGGATTATTATAAAATCAATACAACATCTAAGCTAAATCACTACTAACCCTTAATTAGGACGGTACTAACTCTTCTACAATTAGCACCGTAACTCCTCCCTACATACTCATACTTCAACCCGTGCTAATTGCCCAAATTCAAAAAACACAAAAGATTTCATTAAAAAAAAACACTTCAAATTAAAAACCTCCTATAATGGTTGTAATCCATGTTCAAGATCGAATCTTATATCATAGTAGATCTCATTTTATATATATATTCCATTCCGGTACATTTTGCATGCTACCAACACTAGCTATATATAGAAACAAAACGGGACTGCTGTGGGCTGCCAATAGCCGCTTCCCTTGCTGGCTCAAACGGCAACACCCAGCCAACGTAACAGTGCCAGGCCCTTTGTCGTTTTTAGTGAAATACAATAATACAAGCGTGGATATATACATACATACTAGCTAGTACTGATCGCTGAGTGAGTGGTCACCGGCGGGTTGCAGAGGCAAACCGGCAGGGCAGTCAGGAATCCAGTCAGTCAGTAATATACCTTTTGGGCTTGCCGGGGGTTCAGTTGTTCACCAAATCAAGCCCAAAAGAAGAAAAAGGAAAAAGAGGTAAAAAAAAAAACAAACATAATTTGATCAGTGTCCGTACAGATTTCACACTGATCAAAATCGGAGAAAATGGCATTGATTGACCAAGCTTGCTTGTTTTACGTCTTTACTTTACGAGTGACATTTCATTGCAGTGAGTGAGGGAAGCCAGCTTTAAGTGGTGAAGCTTTATTGGGTTGGAATCAGTCACGTATATGTATAGTACCAACCAGGGGCGGAGCTAGGAATCAAGCTTCGGGGGGGCCGAAATTATTTTACACGTGTTATCAAAAAAGACAAACAAACTAAAAAATAATTATCAAAGTAAAGAAAACTAATACTTTTAATCATCATAATTTTCCAACCCACTTTTTTAAGACAATAAGATTTACTTAAAACATGATTTAAGATAAAAATACTATGTCATTTTGACTATAAACGAGTTTATTACCAAAAAAATTAATAATGCATTCCAATGCTAACTAGTTTCATTATTTTTAAAGCTGAAAAATCAATATGCACTATCTCCTAAAAAATTTACTCATAATATATTTAAAAGAGTCCTTAAAAATGTAAATACAAAGCCAAAAAGTACTCATTATAATTTCAAAAAAGTCCTAAAAACTTTGAAATGCTTAGTTTAAGAATCTAATTAATTTAAGAAACTAAAATATGGAAACTAGATGATTATATTGGAGTCTCATGCAAAGTACAACTAAAACAAGAAAAGAACAAAAGAAGTTACTATATGGGGGATCGAACCCACACCATTTATAATCACCTGTTAATGTCATTCCGTTAGACTAAACCACTCATTGTAATGTAGTTTGCAACATTTATTATATGTATTATACTACATTTATACGTAATTTTCCATAATCGTGAACAATTTATACGTCATTTTCAAAATTCTGGGGGGGCCGGGGCCCCCCCGAGGCATAGTGTAGCTCCGCCCCTGGTACCAACAATAATTTTATCAAGGTAAGTGTGGGAATCTCAACCCAACAGATTCGGTCTGGTCTGGTCTGGTTAGAAATGGCTACTTATTAGTTACTATTACCTCCTCACCTACATAATTACCTTAGCCATCAAATACCAGCACACCTCATCACACGAGCGAGTATATTATTATTGATCACACGTGCCTCATAATCATAGTCAACACTTAAGCCAGATTTAAGCAATATTGACAAGTGGTGAGACTCGACTCGACTCGAGAGCCAACAACAAATAATTTGTCTGTACAAAAACCTAGCTTCCTGGATCTGACCGATCAGGTGACGACACCAATTAATGGATGGAAGGGCCAAAACCGAACCCATCAGATACCTTAGCTTTGCTTTGAAAGGAACTTGTCCATGTAGGTTTTTAAAACAAGGTGGTCGGTAGCCGACCAGATTTTACAAAACTCTCGGCATGGCGATACCCCACTGCTGTGCTTGAAAGGGAACCCTGGCCTGGCCTGGCCTGGGCTGGGCTCGCGAGAGATGTTTCATTAAGGGGACAGCTAATTAAGGCTGATAAACACGAACCTTAAAAACAAAAAACCCACCACGATAAGAAAGAAAACATAAGCAAGACAGTTGGGAGTGGTGGTGTGGGTCTTTTTCTCCCCCCACTTCTGGTGGCAACTGAATGATGTTCCATAATGATACGCATTGCCTTTTCTTTATAAGACCGATTGAAATAATATTATCTGTTATAAACGCGCGGTTACGGATCGAGAAATCACTGGAATCGATAAAGTAAGAATACAAAAGCGAGAATCAAAAACACGACACATGATTTACGTGGTTCACTAACACAATGTGTGTTAGCTAGTCCACGGGCGAGAGAGAGCCAGTTTCACTATATCGAGGAGATTACAGATTACAGAGTAGATGAGAAGTATTTATACTTCTCCATGTGGGTCTAAACCTAATCCAAACTGGCAAAAGAAACGGTTAGAGACCAGACCCAAAACCCGAACCCAAATAACATTGAGCACATACACCGCGGGCCGGGGGCGTTGCCCCTGGACCCCACTCGCTGACCGGGCAGCGAGACTCCTGACTAATCCAGTCGTAGCGGCTGATAGTCTGATTCAAGTCACATCAACATTATCTATGATATTCAAATTAAAATAATAATAATAATAATAATAATAATAAATTTCTATAAGGTGATGACCCTACTTGTTGCATTGCATCACATCTTCCTCTGTCTCCTACTTGTCGACTCTTTTACATTACAATTTATGTTACCATGATGTGATTGGACCATCATTTAGGATAAGGTATTTAGCATATGAATTGTCTAATTAAACCCATCAAGAATGATCGATAGTGGATGAGACTTAATTGGACTCTAAAATCCTACAAAGATTAGAGGGTATGCACTTCTAAATAAAATAATAACAAAGAAAGTGAGGTTTGTTACGAAGATATATATTAGAGTGATATGTGGCTTCTTATTAATATTAATAATAATAATAATAATAATAATAAAGTGTCAAATGGTTTTTCTTTATTGTGAGAACTCGTCGCAGTTTAATTAATTTCATGTATGATGTAATGTTCGAACTCTTAAGCATCACAAGACACTCATAAATCCGAGATATACACAAAGGGGTCGTTTGGAAGTTGCGATTGTTAGTATTGTATTTGTTAAATACATGTATTGTCCACAATACAACGTTTGGAATTGTCAAGTTGCAAAACAATGCATGTATTGTTTTGTGTGGGTCCCACCAACAATCAACAAAAATGAAGGATTGTACAATCTCAACTAAAAGTTGTGATTGTTGTGATTGTTGGTTTAATAATTGAGCACCTTTACTTTTTTCAATTATGTCCATAGTTCTTTTTGTTTTATATTAAAAGTGGAGGACAAATATGACATTTCCTTATAAAGTAACTTTATAACAATCAATTCTTAAATTATAATCTCAACAACCAAACAATGTAATTTCAAAATGCATCTATTGTATCAATGCATGCATTTATATCATAGTGATTCATAACAATACAACGATTTAACATACGCAACTTCCAAATGACCCCAAAATAATTTTATGATTACTTCAGTGTCTATAAATAAAATTGCTATGTATTCCCGACCAAAACCCTTTGAATATTACTATTGATCATGACTCAATCATCACTTAACGTACTATAATTTGAACCATGCAAATAATGACCCTCTGCCTCCACCAATTTCTTGTTGAAATAACACACAAAAAATGGTAAGAATCACCTTTCAACTCAAACCACACCATGTTCCCATTTAAATAAATGGTTCCCCAACCACAATTAGTCCATATTCTTGATTTCACCTTTTACATCTTTCCATGATATCTTCTCTGATCCCGAGTTGCCTCTCCCTTGTCCCTTCTTCCAATTTTCCATCCTTTTGGCTTTCAAACTTGGTCCAAAACAAGAGAAGATGGCCAAAAAAGAAAAAGTAAAACATGATGAAATGAATTAATAAAAGAAATATCGAAAGAGTTTGCATTGAATATTTCAAATAAAACAATAAATTGTGTGTTTGAGGTTTGTTGGCAAGGGAATGGGAAAATTCCATGGTATCAGAAGCAGTGTTTGGTACTTTGGTTTGGTTTAGGCGTTTCACAGTAATCAGTTGATTAAAACAAAGTATGGTGGGTCTGTGCAAATTTTAAACTTATGAGTTGGTTTTCGTTTGAGGGGACGTGTAAGAGAGTGATATAAGATCCAACATAACTTTCTCCCAACAACTCAAATTATTGGGATCAACTGATTTATGACAAGACCATCAATAACGATTCGGGATTACAAAATGGACTTGGGAATCTCAAAACAGTTCGATTTTGCCATAGATGAGCCGTAAAAAAGGAAACCTTTGATTTTTGACAGTACGACACACATGTCCTTTTGGTTGTAATTATCTTTTAATTATGCAAACGCCTTGTTGCATTATTTATGCAAGTAATTCAGGAAGCTCTTGCGAGAGTTATAGCCGTCACAAATAATATATTATCATGTTATTCAAGTTGTTGCAAGTTAGTATCACGTTGCCGAATCAAAATGATTAAGAAAATTGCTAATTGAAAATTTACATTTTGCCAATTATTAGTAATTTACCATATTTGACTAATAATTGGTGTTTAAAAAAATTTGATGAAGGAAAAAATGGAAATAGAGGAGAAAAGGGTAACTTTGGTTTGGGGAGGAATCCTGATGAGAACTTGACAATTACACTGACAGTTACTGCAATATTACGTGATGAACAGGGGCAAAAAGGTGAAACGCATATAACCAAGTAACCAAGAAAGGAAAAAAAAGAAGCTCAATGCACCATAGAAAAGAAAAAGGAAAGTAGATAGAGAGAGAGAGAGAGAGAGAGAGAGAGGAATAAAAGCAAAGCAAAATGGGGAAGAAGAGAGGGAAGGAGGTGGAAGAAGTTGTCTTGTCTACGAAGGCCAACTGGGCAGCTCAGCAGCCTAGTCAGCACCAAAAAGGAAATGAAACTCATTAAATTAACCTCTCTTCTTCCTCCATTCCCAAAACCCTCCAATAGAGAGCGCTTCCCAACTACATTTTCATTTGTGCTCCATTCTTCTCCTTCTTCACTCCATTGCTTATTCTTCTAAATCATTCCATTACCGCTAGATTGAAAGCCCATCTGCTCCAGAAGGTAATCGACGCTCTTTCCCTTTATCAAATCATCATTACAAGCTTCCATTTCCATTCCCTCTTCTTTTTGTGCTGTTTCTTCTGTTTCCTTCCTTGCCCTTTTCAGCCCATTGGTTTCCCAGTTTGGCAGGGGAGAATCAGGAATGGTGGGAGGGATTTGAAGGGGAATGGGAATCCAAAGTTTCGATCTTTCCTTAGTTTTAGTAACTGGGATCCTTTGTTAATACTCTGTTCTTCTTCTCTTATTATTTTTTGCTGATTGAACTATTCTGTTTGTGTTTGGTTACTGAGAAAACGGAAATCTTTGTCATCGTGAGGGAAAATTTCAGGTTCGCGGCTGCTGTTGGCTTTTATTTCTTTCTAAAGTATCTTCCTTTTTTTCCTGATTTCTCAGGGGAGTGATTGATCAATGAAGCAGAGGAAAAACAGAGGAAAACAGAGTAGACAGTGAAGGAGGAAAGGAGAATAGAGGGTCTAGTAAGATGTTGTCGTGCATAGCCTGCACGAAGCCGTCGGCGGATGACGAAGGGGAGGAGGTCGGCGGCCGCGGCGGAGTAGCGTCGGCGCGTGACGGTAGTGATACTCCAAATACTAAAGAAGCCGTCAAAAGCCTGACCAATCAGGTCCCGTCCCTTCCTTTCCCTTTTTTCACTCCTTCATTTAATACTCTCTCTGCATTTCGTTTTCAAGGAGCTTCTTTCCTTGTTGGTTACTTTGGTTCTTGTTCCCTTCTTCTTAAAATTCAATGTGTTCAACTCCATAGATCGTTTTCTTCGTGCTTTCAATAATTTTATTGGTATCACTACACTCAATCCCACCATTGAAATTATGCACAACAACCCAACAAGAACAAGATCATCCCTCAATAGCTTTGATGCCTAAAGATTGGAGCTTGGTGTGCAATGTTGCAAATTTGATATGGTGGGGCCCAAAAGAGTGGTGGTGGTAGGGCCCAAGGAGTGCAAATATGGCTTAATTAGGGGGGCATCTCTTCTCTTTTTTGGCATCTTTCACGTTTACATGTCAATCGCTAACAGGGGCTGCCCGTACTTAGCTGCTTCCCTTCCTTACTTGCTTCAATGCTCTGTTTTCTAGTCTTCTTTTGCTCTCCTCTGCTCTGCTGCTAACTTTGCTTTCTTCCTCTTCCCTGCTGCTCTTCTTTTCCCAACCAATCACTGCCCAGCAGTTATTGTTGCCCCTGCTGCTTGCTGGCTGTTTGTATTGATATTTTTTCCTTTCTCACTTTGCGTTTATTTGTGTGTCTGAATTGTGATCCTTCCTGGTAACAAAAAAGCAAAGTGGCCTCTATCTCACTCTCTTGCTTTTGTGTTTCTTTTTGTTTCTTGTTTTTGATTCCCACCCTGACCCCAGTGTGCTTCTTATTCCTTTCTCAAGTTTCCTTTTGTTTTCATTTGTAAAACTGGGATTGAGAATTGGAGATAAGACATTGATTGGGGGAAAGCTACCCTTTTAGAGATACTCATTTTATTAGTTTGGTTTGCATTGTTTTGGTGCGTAAAACCGCGATTTAAACTATGTTGTTGGGTTATACGAATTCTAAATCCTCTTATTACCTCATTTAAAATTCAATTGATCAAACTAGAGTAAATACTATACTAGTTTCTTGGTAGGGACTAGGGAGACAAGAAAACATAAGGGGTTGATTCATTAGGTGTCGCATTTGGAGGTCAAAATGATTTTCCCAGGAATCCTGGGTGGAGAGGGTTTCCAAGTCCTTTACTACTATACTAATTCTCCACTAGATAATAGAAAAAAACAACATGGCTAGAGCACAATGGAGAGTTTGGTTCCTCTAATACTATGAGGTGGGTCTGAAACCAATAAGGGTATATCTTGGTTAAGTGTTGTTTTAAGGTACATGATCGGTTCAAAAGAGGGGAAAAAGGGAATACCCAGCATCAGCAGCTAGGGGTAAACAAACACACCCGGAAACCGACCCATCCGTCCAACCCGACCCAACCCACCCGTATTTATCGCTAAAACGAAGGTTTTGGGTTGGGTGAGGGTTTTCTTTTGTACAACCCGCCTCTTTTGGGTTGGGTTTGGATTTTGGATTACACAACCCGTAGAACCCGACCCAACCCGTGTTCCAACTATTAGTATGAGTTCGAATCTAAAAAATATTTATGTACTATATAGTCATATACTTATGAGAAAATTAAGATATTTCACCATGTTTTTCTCTCATGGTCTCCCTAATCTAATGCATTCTTCGACTTAAAGTTTAGACATAAATTGAATATAGTTATGATTCACGTAATCCTTTTTCTTGTGTACAATTTTAATAGAATAACATATGATGGATGTGTTTATTTATAACATTTTTAGCCTATTTCAACAAATATCGTGAAAAAACAAGACATATGTTGAAGTAAATTACATTTTATTAAAATTTAAACAACATTTGTGAATTTTCATACCTTTTACCTTGGTTCATTCGTTTGAAATTTTAATTAGTTATAAAATATTTTTATGATGTAGAATAATTATATATTTTATGTTGGGTTGGGTTTTTACTTAAAAATATCGCCAACCCGACCCAACCCAATTAGAAACAAACCGTAAGGTTTATTTTTGGGTGGGTTTGGGTTTAATATTTCCCAAACCGTAGTGCATGGATCGGGTGATTAAAATGACAAAACCCGAACCACCCGACCCATGTACACCCCTATGACAGCAGCATCTCATTTCATCAGACAACACAAAAAGGAATTTTCCTTAGAAGGGTGATGGTGGCTTGGTTTGTTAATGAAGTAAAGAAAAAAGATGCTATCATAATATTCATCATCCTTGTTGTTATGACCCACCATTTAGAATTCTTGTCTGATCCATATTTTTTTTTTACACTGCAAAGAAACATATCATATGTTTATTGGGATGTGAAAATGAAGGTAGGGACTTTGCTTTTCTTCCCAATAGTTGTTAGTGTAGGCAAGAATTGAATAAAAGCATAGACACAAATATGTTGGTTTTGTGTTGGAAGAAGACCAAAATTGTCTTTTGTTGACTCATGTTTTCCAATTGTGGGTTTGCTTGATCATGTTTTGGCCTTTCCCTTTTTCCCTCTCATGCTTTCCCACCTCAAAAAAGATGGTATGATATGTTTGAAATTGATCAATGCAACAACCTCAAAAAAAGATGGTATGATATATTTGAAATTGATCAATGCAACATAAACAAGGTAATGAAGACATTTCAATCATGTGACTCCGTCTTCAATCAATGTGCTATCATATCATGCGTACTCCAATTTGATAGACTTTCCTCCAATTCTCTCATCTTAGACCAACCTATTTGAATTCATACGTTTTAGATAGAAAGTAATTACTTTCGTTTAGATCAATCTTTATGTCTCTCTTATTGTTCATTTAATTTCGTTGATATAATTTCTGTTACTATTGAACATCTAGTTGAACGAAATTCATTAGAACTCACTGGATAAAACGTAACTGTGTTGCTGATTATTCGACTAAACTCGGGTGTAATAGGTAATTGGAATCTACAATGATTTAGTGAAACTTCCTCTAATTCACTAGTTCGATTCTTTCAGATCAAGGACATGGCATCCAAGTTATCAGGAACATACAAGCAATGCAAGCCCTGCACAGGAGGATCATCCAGCAGCAACTACAAGAAAGGACACCACCGCCCTTACCCCGACTTCGATGCAGCCTCGGAAGGAGGAGTTCCATACCCTTACTTCGGCGGCGCGGCAAGCGCGAGCTCCACGCCGGCGTGGGACTTCCCAACATCTGGCCGCGGCGGCGGAGGCAGAACCGACACCAGATTCGCTTCAGGAAGGGATTCATGTGACGTGGTGATCGATGATGAGCCCAAGGAATGGATGGCTCAGGTTGAGCCCGGCGTCCACATTACCTTCGCTTCGCTCCCCAATGGCGGCAACGATCTCAAACGGATTCGGTTCAAGTGTGTGTTAAGTTATAGCTCTCTCTACAACTCAGGGTTGCTCTGTTTTGTTGCAAAAGCTGACATTGTTTAGGGGTTCGTTTTGAGCTGTGTTTTTCTTGAAGCCGGGAGATGTTCAACAAGTGGCAAGCGCAGAGTTGGTGGGGTGAGAACTACGACAGGATCATGGAGCTTTACAATGTCCAGAGATTCAACAACCGCCAGTCTCTCAACACTCCTCCCAGGTCTCAAGATGAGGTAAGTTTGGGGTTTGGTCCACTATTGATCAAAGGATTGTGAAACCGTAGTAGAGCTTGTTGGGAATGAATAGCTTTGAAACCAGCCAGATCAATAACCTAATTTTCTGTTCGGTTTTTATCAGAGCTTATGTCGAAAAATTCAGTGATGAGTATTTCGTATTAAAAACTGCCTATCGTTTAAAATTTGGTACCTGGTATTAACGATCCAATCGGGCGGTACAAATTTCTAAAACATTACTCTGATCTCGGCTGATTGTGATTTCGTATGAACCGAATCGTTGCTCACTGTGTTTTTCTCCCCACAACTTCAGCATAGAGATTCAACTTACTCGAGATTAGGCTCTGCGAGGGAGAGCCCCATGGCGCCATCATTCACACCAAGGAATTACTACAGGCCATCTCCTGGGATGGTGGAACAGGGCCAACACCATTACCCTTCCGGTTCGACCGGGTACGGTTTGGGAGGCGGGCCTTCCTCGATGGAAGCCTCGAGAACAACGACCTCGTCGCGAGACGAGCCGTCGATCTCGGTGAGCAATGCCAGCGATTTGGAGGCGGAGTGGATCGAACAAGACGAGCCTGGAGTGTACATTACCATCAGACAGCTCGCGGATGGTACCAGGGAGCTCCGGCGGGTTCGGTTCAGGTAAGAAAAATTTAACGGGCAATAACTGCTTTTCGAAAGTTTTTCATTTCAAATTTCCCGCCATAGAAAAGAAGCGTCAGCCGTCAAGCCCTGATTCTGTGCTTGTTTGTGCAGTCGAGAAAGATTTGGGGAAGTGCATGCCAAGTCATGGTGGGAGGAGAACAGGGATAGAATACAATCTCAATACCTATAGACAGAGAGAGAGGTTTGGAACAGAGTAAATTAAGGTGAAATTGTTTTAACACCATCTCAAAGGAAGTGGAGGTTTGCAGATTGGTTATCCTCCGGCTCCAGGGAAAGAGATATGAGAGTTCTTCCAAGTTGTGTTCACAATTCACTGAACATATGCTTGAGAAAGAAATACTGCAAGAACATTGGGTGTAAGAGTAAAAGTGCAGAGTTACCACTGGGATGTCCAATTTTTTTGCCTGGAGTATTGAGTCTGTCACCATTGTAATTCTTTCTTCTTATCTTGGTTTACTGCGATCTTTAGGGCATGGCTCTTGGTTTACAGATCAGGGGATAAGTTGTTCTTTCTTAAATTGAAACTTATATAGCACAAATGGAAATGGAATGGGGGATCGCGATTTTTATTTCGGGAGGTTGATACAGTGCACTATTACTTATTATTATTTTGATAAAAAGTTCTCGTACTAATTGATGAATTGAAAAATCTAAATCACCATTTTTATAAATTTATTGAACTGTGTTAATGATTTCTTATCACTTCCCTACATATTTTGCTAAGACCTGCATGAGCATGAACAAGTAAAAATTAGTTGTACCACCAATCGGAACATACCACGATTTAATAGGTCTCACGGCCTTTATATTACTTTGGAATCCATTTGTTGTATTATTAACCGCCAATATTCAAGGTAGAAGAGCTACAACAGAAAGACTGAAGGTGGTAAAATACAGGAAGATTAGATCATGCAGAAGAAAGTCAAATATAGTTACATGAACAGAATGAGAAGACTTGAAGCAGATCAGATCAGATGGAGGAACGGAATGCATGAGAAGAACGCGAAACAGAGCAGAAAGTGTCAAAGAGCTGTTGCTTATTACAGAGAATCAACTAGTGCAGTCCCGAGAATCAACTTTGTTATTTGTTAGCTTTTCATTTAATTTGCCCTCGCCGCTGCAAGGTAACGGTGGCGAATGGCAGTCCATTTAGCGACGAGCTTGTCACGTGGCGGCCAGCTCTCCTCAATCACAGGGATGTCGGAAATCCTTCGAATCCATTCCGACAATGACGGATGACGCTCCTCGTCCAAGATTTTCACGGCGAGGATCTCTTCGAAGACCGGCATCACGTTGACCAGCCAGCCCAATGCGAAGTCAACGATTCCGATCTCTTCCCCGCCGAAGAACTTGTTGCCTTCCAGCTCAGCCTCCAGCAACTTGACTACTTGAGGTTCTCTGCAATCGAAGCCAGGCCTTCCTCTTGCTCCTTCCCTTCGTTTGTCAAGGCTTGCCGCATCGATTGAAACGCCTGCGCGCATATATAAAATCATTCCGTTAATTTCAATAACTCCAACTTACCAAAACATGGAACAGGTACCTTTAAGTTTCGCTCATATAAGAACCCATCTATCCCGATAATTCATGTATAATATTGTCAAAAATCAGTTAATTCCAATTACTCGAGTTTTTGAAAGAGGAAAGAGGTTCGATATAATAGATATTTTACCACGTACTATATATATATATATATGGTGACGTCTTCGATGCACTCACTTTTTTGGGTGCATTCAGTGCACCCGCTTCATAACCGTCATTTTAAACATGCGATTTATGTCAAAATGATGTCAATCATCACTTATGATGTGATGAACAATAACGCACATGAATTTGCACAAAAAACCATTAAAGATTTACTTTAATTTGAAGGATTAGAGTTTAGAGATTTAGAATTAGGGTTAGGGTTTATAATTTGGGGTTTGCGGATAGAACTCAAAATTGGAGGTCTAGGGCTTAGGGTTATCCACTAATTAGTTGTTATCATATGTTATGTCATCATATTACACTAATTCTACATCTTAAAATTCAAAATCCGACACCTTAAGACTAGTTTTTGAGTTGGGTGCATTGAACGCACTCATTTTTGTGAGTGCACCGAAGTAGTCACCATATATATATATATATATATATATATATATATATATATATATATGGGCTTGAATAGGAATGTGCAACGGTTTGGTCTGTATCCAACCACACCGACATTTGAATCGACTCATACAGAACAGAATGAAATGTGGTAAAGTCTCATGGATTTTATAAATACCGAATAAAATTGGACCGGATTATCATTTGGACCGGATCGAACCGCATGCAATATTGATACGTTTGGTCATTGATTATAAGATGTCTTACACTATTGGACCATAGTTCTCATGAGTTTGATCCGGTTCGAACCGAATCATTACGCACACCCCAAATTTGAAGTTTGTACAATTCAGAAATGGATCACTAACGATTCGAGCAGAATACCTCTCGCCATCGAAAAAAAAGACTCACTCTCATACGTACCATGTAGTCAAGAACCACGCGATCCTAATAACTCGCATTGATTAGAGAGGTTCAGTAACGGATCTATCGTACGTAACACCAAATAAGAATAACGTACCTTCTCGTCGGCAAATTTGGCCCAGAAGCGAGCCGAGGCGCGCTGGACGGGATCCCGAGGCAACAACCTAGGCGGGTTCTGGCTCCAAGCCTCGTCGATGTACTCGAGGATCACGAGCGATTCACAGACGGGCTTCCCGTTGTGAATGAGGACAGGGACCTTCTTGTGGACAGGGTTGTAGTGCAGAAGCAGATCGCTCTTGTTGGCGAGGTCTTCATCAATGGAGTCGTAGGGTATGCCTTTGAGCTTCAGCGCCCAAATGACCCTCAGTCCGAACAAGCTCGACCATGTCTTCAACACCTTCACTTCTTCTCCTCCTCCTCCTCCTTTCTCGGCCATGGCGGTCGATGGGATAATCTCTACATAATTAATGATGGGCATGTATGTATTTAAAGAGAGCTTGGGGTAGCTCTTTACGTAGAGATCGAGCACCCTTTTGGCTGGCTGTGGAATAATATAATTAAGATGTAATTAACAACATGGTTGCCGTAATCACAGACAGTTGTCTGCATGTGCATATGATTTAGTGTATATATGATCGGAGCTGTCCTAATTAATTACATTGCTAATTCATTAGAAACATCTCGAAAAAGGTGAAGAGTTCTGTGTATAGTTGCTGTATATTTAATTAATTTTCATGAATACAATAAATCATTTGTAGATATCGGTATGGTTGATGTGATTCTTCATCACATTTTTATATTGTTCAAGAGTTTATTCCATTCTACCGCATATTTCTGTTTAGCAATCACAATGATATTATATGAATTTTTTTTAGAAAAAATTAATAAACTGTCTTTACCGGTGTGTTAGCGCCAAGTTATATTCTTAAACAATATTTCATATCTTTTGTACGAAATTTTTTTCTGTTTATTATTTGTTAGTTGTCACAATATTTACATTATCAAGATCTTACTCATCAATTTTATGATATTTTGAACTCAATAATAGCTAATAAAAATAAGAATTGCTAACCACTTGCTTTGATACCATACGGGGTCTAAAAGACTTTAATCATTCTATTTCATACATCATTTGGATAGACTACAGGTGCATACCAAGACTGGATACTAATGATAAAGATTACAGCCTAAAAGTACCCCAAAAAAAAAAAGCTATAGATCATTATTACTACTAAATAGTCCTATAAAAAAATTTAATACTACTAAATAGTAAAGATAGTTGTTATGTACAGATCATCGTATTCGTATAAGCTTTATTTGGGCCCTCAGCTTTGAGCAACAAAATAGTTGTTTGGGCCCTGTGGAACCTGAGCCCTCTCTAATTGGACTTTCACGTCAATATCCAACACCTAATTAACAAACTACACTCAAAGTTTGCAAGCCCACTCTTAATTCCTCTCATTCGTTTGCAGCCGCCTTCCCCACGCAACGCTCGCGGATGGCCGTCCACTTGGCGACGAGTTTGTCGCGAGGCGGCCAGTTCTCTTTGACCACATCCACATCGGACATCCTCTGCCTCCACTTCAACAACGCCGGATGATGTTCCTCGTCCAGAATTTTCACTCCCAGGATCCGCTCGAACAGTGGCACCAAGTTCACCATCCAGCCCAGCGCGATGTCGACGATCCCGATCTCTTCCCCGCCGAAGAACAATCTCTTCTTCTTCTTCTTCAGCTCTGCCTCCAGCAGCCTCAGATGCTCTGCTGTTTCGGACAGGCCTTGCTCCTGCTCCTTACCTTCCTTCGAGAACGCTTGCCATATCGCTGGCAGCGCCTGCACGCACAGCAGCGACATGTCGCAATGATGATAACCAGTTAATCACAATAACTTAACTTGTGTGAAAACATGTGACGCGGTGGTCGTCGTATACCTTGTCATCTACGAATTTCGCCCAGAAACGAGTTTCGGCTCGCTGGAGAGGATCCTGAGGCAACAGTCTGGGTGGGTTCTGGCTCCAAGTCTCCTCGATGTACTCGATGATCACTAGGGATTCACAGATGGATCTTCCATGGTGGAGGAGGACGGGGACTTTCTTGTGGACAGGGTTGTGATGTAGGAGGATGTCGCTCTTGTGGGTGAGATCTTCGTCGATGGACTCGTAGGGTATGCCTTTGAGCTTCAGAGCCCAAACGGCCCTTAGGGCGTAAGGGCTCGACCATGTCTTGATCAGCTTCACTTCTTCTTCTTCATCTTCTTCTGGTTCTCTTGCCGTAGCCATGGCTTTTTGTTTTGTCAAGTGTGCTATGTTGTTTTGTCAAGTGTGCTATGCTATGCTATGGTATGGTGGAATGATGGGATTATATAAAGTGAGATGTGGGTAGCTAGGCCTAGGTGTCCATACTTCTATGGTTCCACCTTCGAATTTTGACTTGGTGGTGTAGCCGTGTCGTAGCTTCCCATTGACCATTAAATTGTGGCATCTCATTCTAGTCTAGAAAGGAATTTTAAACTTCAGTTGTAGAATAACAGCAGAGAATTAGAGTCCTTTTTGTAAGAAAATGATTTGTATTCATATATGAAAGCACCACTACAAAATAAAGTTTTCACCTAAATAATTTTTTATCGTGATTACTTGTACAAAATAGCAAACAACTCGTCACAATATAATAATTAAAAACCTCTAAACAAACAACTGTTTATGAAGAAGCATGAAACAGTAACACCGATGAAAATTTGATTGATTAGAATAAATGCGGTTCAAACATACTCATTGAAATTTATTTCAAGAGAGATGGATAGCTACTTGTTACATTATTTGTAAAATTTCTTATGCCAATTATAGAGTGAAACATAAGAAACCCCATTTGCAAAAAGACCGTGATTCTATAAAAACAAGAGCTTTTTCTCTTCTTGCTTTTTTGTACTAGTTTACAGTGAAGCAAACAACTTTACGATTGATGGCTAAATGAGTCTCTATGTGTATACTCTGGAGTTTTCCTTACATCTCATTTGGTGTTGAGCAACCGCAAACGATCAATCTTCGCGATCAATGCCTATTTGGGGATGATGAAGGCAAAATGAGAAAGCCATGATCAAACTTTCAAGCTACGATATTTGACTGACTAGCCATCACAAAGTTTGAAAGAAATTAGCATTATCCATTCACAAAACCAATATCAATACACCACAAAACAATGAGTATTTACTCGTAGCGATACCTAACTGCTATGCTCATAAAACCGATAAGGCACTTCTACGAAAAAAAGTATAAGGATAATGGCTAGTCGAAACAGTTAAGCATCGTTAATTGTTCGATTTCAGTTTGAACAAACCATTTTTCAGTGTGTATGTGTCTCGGAATGTGGGTTTAGATTTTAGCAGCTTTCGGTTTTATCTGAATTGAAACCAGTTAGAAATTCATCGACTTTCAACCGTCAATGCTTCTCAACCCATTTTGACAGCCCCAGTTGGGGCTATAGGATTTTCTAAGTAAAATGGATAGAGGTCCTCACCAAAAGCGGTGAAGACTGTAACCGGATTGAGGAAGAAAAGAGTTACGGAGATGACCAGCATCCCTCATTTCTTTACCTCATTTCGTGAACCTCACTATCATCTGCTTCTTCACCATCACGTACCCTTTCGACGGGACAGCCAAATCCTTTGATTATTAGCGGCTCATACGGACTAGGGGCAGCTAGGCACCAAACAATTGGACCAGATACCAAGCTGCGTACCTAATACCATGATGGCTGGTACCAAATAGTCTCCCATTCAACGTATTAACCAAGTCCATGTACTCAGGTACAGGCTGCGCCAAAGCTTGCTCAGGTCCATCATGGCTCGGTGAAGGCCGTTGCTGCACTATATTCCTTGATGGTTACCCGCCGGCCACTGGTAAGAGGGTCCGGAGGGCTTTCCATCTTTTCAATAGACAGAAATGGTTATCTATCAACCAACCATATAAAAAGGGTTCACACCATATCTTCAATTCCAGCAGAGAGAAATGGACGTTGAATCAATGTGACAGCAGTCTGGCAGTATGGAAACCATGCATATGGCTCATACTCAGACTCACCTCGTATACATGCACAAGCTGGACAAGTAGCAATACCAGCAGAACCGGTATAGGACAAGGAGATCATTGATTAAAGTCTCGCTCCCAAACATCTAGTCCTACCAGGTTGGTCCGCGACAGCATAAGCAAATTTAGTTGAAACTGCAAATAAAACCTTACAAACAGCAAGGGCAGAGCACTTTAAGACAATGTTTCATTAACAGACACTCTCAGTGCCCATAAAAAGCTTGAAAGCAGTGACAGTTTGACCACCAGAGAAACCATACATGTTCCATAAACAAACTATAAGACACATCACCAGTTCACAACCTTTAGGGTGAAGACAAATGACAACAACAACACTTGCTATGCTCGGCCACATCAAAACACCTCACTGAAAGATGAAGATGATGATGCAACAACGAGCAGCAGCTTAAGAATAAATAACAAGTTGGAGATGGAGTAACTCCATGATAAAGAAAAACCATGGAAGAAGAGAAAGCAACAAGGAGATGATTGAGTCTCAAATCCACTGGCACTAACTATAACATGATTCACTAAACTGGAGAATCACAGACAACATTTATGAGCCAGAATGAATACTACCAATAATTTAGTCTACAAGATGGCTAAGAGTTAAGCACAACACCTTTCTCCTAGCCGTTTACATATTCACAGCTTGAGCCACTACTCTCGATCATCGATTAGCCCCTTGCTCTACAAGCATCAGCACTACAGCAGAGAATTCAGCATCCTAGAAAAAACACCTCTATATCTAGACTGCAAGCAAGCTGTAGTTTTTTCTAGGTTACTCAACGTCCAAACCTAGAACGGCTAAGGGAATCGTGTGGGGACCCATATACTCTCCGATTGTTATCATGACCATTGTAATGTGAACCGTATCCGTTACTAGGATAGGTTGTTGGGGCAGGGGAAACTGGAAACCAACCAAAGAAAAAACACTTGCTCAGAAGTACTGTAACTAATAGAACCTAACCAAGAATCAGGCATGGATTGCAGAAATGGAAACGGTAACAAACCGAAAAAAATATGCAATACCTTGGTTGGAAGAATAAGCTGAGCCTGGTGCCCGCATGCTCATGGTCTGCCTAGCAAAATCAGAGTCATTAATTGGCATCCCATGCGGCCTAGATTTCGTAGAAGAGAGCGGCGTGGAGTGTCCATTTGGAAGACTCGGTGAAGCCTTTTCTGAGGTGGAGATCTGTTCAATATACCATACATCAATGACTGAGAAACAAACACCTAATGAAAATAACTAAACAGAAAGCTACTACATGCCCATATGAATAAGAAAATCCGTGAAATCATCGAGTTATTCTCAACATGGATTCATAATCTACCAATGCGCTAGTTTTTTCAACAGAGTACTCAGCTACCCCATAACCTTAATAGTAAATAGCTCCAGGCTCCAGCTAGAGTCAAAAGGGACGTAATTGAAATGTTATGGAAGCCATTATCAAACCTTAAATCTCAGGGTCCTATTGTAAAGGGTAACGAGGCCGGTAAATAGCTTGACAGCATATTCAGCAACCTCTTCGGACTCGTACTCTGCAAATGCATAGCTTTTAGGCTTATCAGTTTCTCTGTCGCGAGGAATGTGCAAGTCCACCACTCTGCCCGCTTGAATTAGAATATCATACAACACCCTGTTACTCACCCTCTCGTCCAAATTCCCTGCACCATTATCATCACAAAAATAAATAAAAGATGTTAGCTTTCACCATAATAACAGCAAACCCAAATCGAGAAGACAAGGAATCAGCAGCAGCAACCGCAAGTAAAACAACACAATAAGCAAAAATCTTCCATTTCCGCGTAATTTACAGAATTAGGGTAATTCAATTGCATCGAGATATTGAGAACCAATTGGAATTGGAAAAGTAAGGGAACATTCAGGCTCGACGAGCAGAGGAAAATAGAAGACACGAGACGGGAAGAGTGAGTTTACCAATGTAGACAGTCCGAGACATGGTGATTTCTGGCGGCGGCGTCGAGCAAGCTGGATGCGACGGATTCTGAACCCTGTGGTAGAAAGAATCACCGCAGGGGGTATGAGAAGCCTTGCAGGACAGCGGGAAACGGGGAGACGGATTATCCGATTCGGATCTGATTCTGACGAGACGAATCAGGAAGCTGCCGGGGAAATCAAAAACAAAATTCCGGCTACTAGTGAGAATTTGGGGAGACTGACCACTGATGAATGGCTCGGTTTCGATTTGGGCGTGGCTTTATAATAACTATTTTTTGGACGGAATCGGACGGATTTACTATTTTGTTATTTGCTCAAACTTTTATTACCGAAACGTGCAAAATTAAAGGATTGTGACCGTTTTGTACAAAATGAATAGGTTTTTGACCATTTATGATAACTACCCGGGATTCGGGTGTCGGTTTACGGGTTTCCCATGTCCGATTTTGTTTCGGATTCCTTTATTTGGTAGGTTGTTGCTGGATAACTTTTGGGCTTACTGAATGTGGCCCATCGTTCCAACATGATAAACAAAAAGCCCATTATCTTGCGGCCCATTTTTCAACTGATGACCAGCATATCCCCAATTCTATTTTGCTAATCGTCTGCTTGAACTGACTTCTCCGCAGCCAACAGGTCAACGCAGACGAACAACTTCCCCAGCGACCTGCCCATTCTCTCCACTCCAGTCGCACTGATCATTTTTCTTCCCAACTCCCGCCATGGATGATGTTTCATCCCGGCCTTCTTCCGATCTCGCCTCTGCTTTGGATCGGAAGTATAGTGTGTTCCTAAATTTCTTCGGTCCTGAAACTCGACAGGGCTTCGTCCACCATCTCCTCGCGGCTTTGCGTCAAGCAGGAATCCGGAGCTTCCTCGACGAGGATATGATGCGTGGGGCTGAAATTTCTGCGCAGATGTCTTCTGCACTGAGAGACTCGGAATCTTCAGTTGTCATCTTCTCCGAAGGTTATGCTTCCTCGAGGTGGTGTTTGGATGAGCTGGTCAAGATAATTGAGTGTCAGAAAACCCTAGGCCAGTTGGTTTTCCCAATTTTCTACCGATTGGATCCGCGCGATGTCCGTCTTCAAAGCGGGAGATTCGGTGAAGCCTTTTCGGAACTCTCCGAGCGTTTTGTCGATCACCCTGGCAAAGTTCAGAGGTGGAAGGATGCTTTGGTCCACGTTGGCAGCTTGAAGGGATGGGTTCATTCCGGTGAGAGCTCTGAAGCCTTACTCATTGGCGAGATAGTCAAGATCTTGCGGGAGAGGTTGCGTGGGAGCTACTTTCCGCCGCCACCACCACCGGCTTACCTGATCGATCCTTCTCCTCCTCCTCCACCTCCTCTCGATTCCACCGCCGTTCGGACCGTTCAGTATGATGTCTTCGTCAGTTTCAGAGGTACGGACACCAGATACAACTTCACCAGCCATCTCTACGCGGCTTTGGCTCGGCAGAACCTTCGTGCCTTCATCGACAACGAAGAACTCATGAAGGGAGATGAAATAGCTGAAGTCAATTTGAAGGCGATTGAGGAATCGAGGAGCTCTGTGATCGTTCTGTCCAAGGATTATGCGTCTTCCGCATGGTGCTTGGATGAGCTGGTCAAGATACTCGATTGCAGGAAAACTTTAGGCCAGCTAGTTGTCCCGATCTTCTACCACGTAGATCCTAGCGACGTTCGTCGTCAGTTTGAGAAGTTCTGTGCTTTTTCTGGCAAACAAGTGGGGAGCGGTAACAATCTCTATAGGGTCCGTAGGTGGGGAGAGGCTTTGCTTGAAGTCAGCAATCTGGCGGGATGGGCAACATCCAATATGAAGTCGGAGTCCTTTCTCCTTCATGAAGTTGTTTCAAGTTTGTCTGAGAAACTGCGTCAGACTTCCTTGGTTGGAATAGATTCACGCATTAGGAAAGTGATGAAGCTGCTATGCCTAGGCTCATCTGATGTTGGAATTGTAGGCATTCACGGCATGGCGGGTGTTGGTAAGACAACCCTTGTCAAAGCTATTTACAACCGAATACATAGCACCTTCAATGCTTCCTGTTTCGTGGAAAGCTTCAGGGAGTACTCTGGGATATCTGCATTGCGCAAACAACTCTTTTCTCAGATATCAGAGGAACAAAGCTCTAGCGATGATACTGTCACCAATGAGCTTGGACGTGCAAAGGTTTTGATTGTTCTCGATGACATTCGTGATGCCAAAGAATTGGCATCTTTGAGTGGAGAATTGTTTAGTTTCGGTCCTGGAAGTAGAATCATCATTACCACTAGATGTAAAGATGTGCTTACATCTTTAGGAGTCAATTGTACGTACGAGGTGAAAGGACTGGACGACGCTGAGTCCCTTGAACTTTTCTCTCGAGCTGCATTTGGTAAAGGTACTCCCGACAAAGATTACCTGGAACTTTCAGGAAGTATTCTAAAGTACGCTTCAGGTCTTCCTTTGGCCCTCAAAGTACTAGGTTCTACTCTACATGGAAGCAGCAAACAAGCTTGGGAAGCCTTAATGCCGCAGTTGAAAAGCTTGCCTGGCCACCAAATTCCTCAAGTCCTCAGAACAAGTTTTGATGATCTGGATGACGAAGAGAAGGATATATTTCTAGACATTGCCTGTTTCTTCAAAGGGATGAATGAGGATTTTGTCAAAGAGATTTTAGATGGCTTTGGGTTCTCGTCAGAAATTGGAATTGCAGTTCTCATTGAGAAGGGCCTTCTCACCATTTCTGATAATAGGCTAATGATGCATGATCCAGTCCAAGATATGGGTAGGGGAATCGTCCGCCAAGAAAATTGCTCCGACGTAGGTAAGCGAAGCAGGTTATGGGATCATGATGATGTCTATCAAGTGTTAACTACGAACACAGTATGCATTTATTCTCGCCTCTCTTCATGTATTTTACTTCACCTTTTTAATATTATAGCCTCTGGTCTGGCTGACATGATTTCTTACTGACCTGCTAATTCATGTAAATCCCCTTATTGTTTATTAGGGTACTGAGACTATAGGAGGCATAAGTCTGGATCTGTCAAAAGTGGACGAAATGCACTTGAGCCCCGCGGCATTTTCGAAGATGCATAACCTTAGATTTCTTCAAATATCCAACCAGTCTGCTGGGGAGGTCTGCAAGTTGCACCTTCCAGAAGGTCTTGATAGTTTACCGAACGAGCTGGTGTTTCTGCATTGGCATGGCTACCCGTTGAAGACCTTGCCTCCACAGTTCCTTCCAGACAACCTCATCGAACTTGACATGCCTTACAGTCATTTGGAACGACTTTGGGAGGGAACTATGGTACGTACTTAATTCTGTTGGAGTTTCCAGAATCTGTATGTGAATTCCTTGAACCACCAATAATCAGGAATGTAATGCTAGTTAGTGACTGAAACTTTTATAACACTGCAGGTTCTCCCGAATTTGAAGCGGATTGGTCTCAGTTACTCCCGAGAACTAATTCGAGTGCCAGAACTCTTGCTGGCTTCTAAACTCGAGAAGCTCAATCTTGAAGGATGTGCTAGTTTGGCTCAGTTTCCAGTATCCGTTTCTTGTCCACGTAGTCTAGTTATCCTCAATTTGAGAGGTTGTAAGAGTCTAAAAACTATAGCAGACATTGTTAGCTTGAAGACCCTTGAAATTGTTGATCTCTCCATTTTTTCTGAATCTGGAAAAAACCCTCAGATCTCATGGAGTTTGAAAGAACTATGCTTAGCTGGAACTGGAATTGGAGAGTTGCCAACATTCATCAAGAATCTTGATAGACTTGTTATCCTAGACCTAGAGAATTGCAAGAACCTTAAATCTCTGCCTGAACTTCCCAGCAGTCTTGAGTATTTAGATGCACATAATTGTGGGGAACTTGAAGCTGTGTCAGCTTCATCCTTCATTTATCGTGGAATGGCTTCCAGCTTTATATTTAGTAATTGCTTCAAGTTGGAACATATGGCAGACAACATCTTCCCATCAGCGGCCCAGCCTGAGGTCCAGCATGTGGCAACTGCATCAAAGCAAATTTATGAGGTTGTTCTCGTTGTCACACTTTATCAATGTTTGTCATCTCCTCATCTGTCATGGTGTGGCCAGCAGCGATGTGCCTTATTATTGTCACTATTTTCTTTATAATTTCTTTAGTTTCTCTTTGTTGCAGGGTATTCTGTCTAGCCCCTCAGCGACTATTTGTTTCCCTGGAGCTGAAATTCCTATGTGGTTTGATTTTAGCAGTTTGGGATCTTCAATTACTATTGAGCTCCCTTCTCCTCCATGCAACAGTCAATCAACGGGCTTTGCTTTGTGTGCTGTTGTTTCATTTGAGAATTACGAAGATGATGGCCAGTTCAATATCGAGTGCAAATGCCATTTCGAAACAAAGATCGGTCGCAACAGTGATCTAATCGCCCATTCAGGGGGCTGGGTTGGCACTAAAGGTAAACACAGAGTTATTGGGTCAGAGCATGTTTTCCTGTGGCATGACTCTTTCGATCTACATGGTTCCAAGTCTGTTTCTTTCCAGTTCTTCCCTGCAAAGAATCGCAAAACCCCGTTGCACAGCTGCAGCTTGCAGAGGTGTGGTGTGCTTCCTTTTAGCTGCTAATATGATAAACCAGTATGACATGCCAAATAGCCTCTCTGGCATCCCCTCTGGCGGTAATGATGATAGATTTTGGCCCTGCATGGACCAATGCCATCATCGGTGTTCATGAGAAAGGCCACCCTAAGCTCACGCCAGCATCTTCAGCGCAATAGAGGAATTGTCAGAGATAAAAAGTTTATGAACGACCTTTGGTGGTGGCGCAGATTCTTGTTTTCTCGGGGTCGAAGGTCAGTTTGCTTTCATGACTGCTAAAGCTGTTATTCTCAGTTGGATTAGAGTGTGGGTGAAAGATATGTGATTTGATCTTTGTTAGTTATTATAGTAAGCGATTAGAGATGTGAATGGAACTGTTTGTGCTATGCGCTCTATATCGGGCAAAAGCTGCAGTCTAAGGACCTTACAAATCCTACCTGCAATGGGAGTAGCTTTAGATATCACAGCAGCTCTGGTGCAGTGATATATTATCAACAGCGCATGGAGCAGTAGGTGAAGGGCTGTAGCAGGTTTTGCTACTGAAAAGTTGCAAGGCAGATTGTATATGTCAATTCCTCTTCAATCTACTTAAACCTTATCATGTAAAAGAAAAGCCTTTTCTTCTGTTGCCCTGAGTTTCTAATCTACAATTTAGTATTTTAGTTTGGTTTCATT